ATTTTTAAAGATTTTTTATTTATCTATTTTTAAGAAAGGAGAAAGGGAGAAAGAGAGGGAGAGAAATACCGATGTGTGAGAGACACATCGATCAGTCACCTCTCGCACACCTCCAACTGGGGGCCTGGCCCGCAACCCAGGCACATGCCCTGACTGGGAATTGAACCAGCAACCTTTAGGTTTACAGGCTGCCACTCAATCCAGTCAGGGTTGAAAACAATTTTTGGAAGTCCAGTAGGGTACAGTTAAATAAATTAAGGTGCATTCACACAACATAATATTATTCAGACCCTTACAATTATGGTTTTAACTTATTTTTTATGACATGACATATTACTACATAGTATTCAGTAGGGAAAAAACAGGACATATAATTGCAATTATGTTAAAATACATGGTTTTGCATGAATACCAATTTGGAGGGATATACACCAAAATATTAACCGTGCTCACCCCTAAGTTGTGATACTATGTACCATTTGGTTACTCCTTTAATTTATAAAGGTTTTCCACAATGAGCATGTATTAATTTTAAGACAAAATTTTAGTTATTTCATATCTCTGCTTAATTTTTGCACTGTAGTCAATTAAGATGATTGTGAGTCATGGTTCTGTCATCCCATACGCTTGCTGTCCTAAACAGCCAGAGAACTGATAAAGGACAAAGCCACAAAGAGAGCTCTGTGGCATTTTACTGGACTCCTCCTTCAGAATGGCGAGGGGCTGAGCTCGGTCCAGGACCCAGGGTGGCCCCTCAGCCAGACACAAACCCACCTTACTGCCGCGTCAGCCAGACTGCATTTCCTTCCCTCAAACCCAAGAAAACCACGAGACTCAAAGTTCTTGCTGAACGTGCCCCCACCCAAACTAAACTGTTTTCCAAGACTTGACAGAGTGAACAACTGTTGACTACTAGTTATCTCAATTTCTCTTTGAAGTCCCCTTAAATTGTCTGCTGAAATATCTGACCTGAAATTTGGGGGATCAAGATGAAGCTTACCAGCCTGCCATTTCCAGGATCCCCACCCTGCCACACTAAAGAAATAAATCAGGACAGTGTTTGTTATTTGCCACCTTTACCTTCTCCCAGACCCTGCAATGATTCTGTGGTCACCGCAGCAGTTTCTCTCAGGACCCCTAAATCTGACCGGAATGAAAAGCTACTCAGTGTAGTCTGACTCTTTTCTCCCACAGCCCTCCTGAAGGCTCTCACAAAGTCTACTCTGCCCCTACAAAGACAGAGGCAAGATAACAGCCCTCTGCCTCCCAGAACAACATTCCACCACCTGCTACAAGCAGAAATCTTCCCCTGCCAGTCCTGTCTGTGTCTTCTTGCTCTGCTGTGGCAAATACACACACACATACACACACACAAACCTTTATGTTGTTCAGGCCTGTTGCCTCCCCACCCAGAGCTCTGCCCACTGCACAAATCGCCCCCCCAGTCAACTATTACTCAAGGCTCAATGCCAAGATGGAGCTCATCCAAGAAGAAACAAAACTAACCTTTTATCCAGGCCAGGATGATTCACGAAGACATCTTACGGGGCTTGACGAGAAGGGGAAGGAAGACCTGGTCCAGCAGGGGTGAGCTGGGCAGTAGGGAAGAGAGAGTGGCAGGTACCACACACCACTAGCCTTTGCTAGTAAAACATAAAGCAGAAGGCTCAGCCAAATAATGGGCTCCCAGCAGCTCAGGTTTCACTTAGTCAACAGCCCCCTTCAGAGGAGAGGCCCACCCTGTGTGTCATCAGCCCCTCCCCAGTGCCCTCTGCACTACCCCCAACACCCAGCCCTTCCTATCGGCCGGCCGGATATGCAATCCCATCCCCCAGGAGGGTTACCCTGCCTTAGCACAGCTCCCATTTCCTGTCCCTGGTGACTCCTCTGAAGTCTATTGTTCCCATGAAGTTTGGGTCAAAGGAAGCTGAGTCCCCACCCATAGGAGCCTGCCTACCCCAGCACCACCACCGAGCTGGTGCACAGGGAGCCAGGCCCGCCCTCCTGCCTTTCTATGAGCCCACCAGTAATAAAGGCAGGAGGTGTGAGCACAGATCACAGACCTGAGGGACTGCAGTTCCAGTGGAAATGTTCCCAAAGGTCCAGGCGCTACCAGCTGAAGGCTCCAGGACCATATTATAGAGGAGGCGATTAGAATCTCCCCAATATCTACATGGAAAACCCAAAGGCAAGGGAAGAACTATCATTTCAGAAGCAGTCAAGGCAAAGCTGCAATTAAAGCATAGAATTTGGAGACTGTGCTACCCAGGGACAAAGCCCTGCCCCGACCTCCACCTGGGCCCCTAAGCAGTTAAACCCCTAGGGGGAGGGCGGGAGGACTGGAGAGCAGCTGTTCAGCTCCAATTTCAGAGCTTTAAAGAGAGCTCTCCTCCCAACCCCTGCCAACAAAGGGTCATGGGGGGCAAAGGAAGACAGGCAAGGTAGAGCCAACCTTACAAGCCCCGAATTTCCCACTGCCCCCAGACTGACCTCAACTACAGAAAAAGCAGCAGAGCAACGTGGAGACCCAGGTCCCCCACCTCCCCCAGGAGAGGAGAGAAGACAGACCAGGCAACAGGTATTGTTCTGTGACAGCCACCCACACAGGACTCCGGAATGGAAACCACAGGAGGCTGCCATGTTTGCATCCCGGGAGATCTTGAGAGATAGAGACCCTTCTCCACCTGGCTGAGTAATGCACAGACCAGCCAAGAGGGTGCATTTAAAGATCTCTTAAGGGTCCCTTCGGGAGCTGGCATTCTCAGATTCCACAGTTCTGTGCTTTTTGCTGGTACAGAGGGGAGTACTTCTGCCTCCTAACCACCTTATCTGAGCCACAAGATAACAGACATTGCCCAAGTCACTCGGTTCTGGCCCCCACCCCTTTTAGATGAAAGTGACTGGGGGTCTGAGCTTCGGGATCCACAGAGCAGGGGACAGAACGCAAAGTGCAAACAGTGGACTCTAGTCCCAGGGCTGCAACTCACTGGTGGTGTGATCTTAAGCAAGTTACTGTCCCTCCAGGGGCCTCACCTTTCCCATCTTCAATATGAGGGAGTTATATGCTGACATTAGAGCATCCATTAATGTTCAGCAAGTTCACTCTGGGGTCAAAGAAAAACTGGAATTAAAACATATGAGTTGGAGGCCCTGTGCTCTCTCTCCTGTGACAAAGCCCTGCCCCCGCCTTCACCTAGTTCACTGGCTACCTGGTTCCTAAGGATGAGGAACACGGTTCAGGGCTTGGCCTATAGCAGATGTTCAATTCGTGTTTGCTAAATAAACATGAATGAACACGGCAGGGTTTATCAAAGGGTGTTCAGAGAGGTACCCAGGAAAAAAAAGAGGTTCCTTGCTTAAATAAGCCCAGGGAAGATTGGCTACTGAGGCCCTGGCCTGGGCCATGGACTGTGCTACATACTTTGCAAATGTCAAAATTTCACAACAAACTTTGTGGACAGATATCAACTAACCCTCTTTCACAGCACTAATCAGGAAACAGCCTGAGAACCTCAAAGGCAGTGAGTGATGGTCAGGATTTGTACCCAGGTATGTCTGACCCCAAACCAGTACCTTTTCGACTCCATCAATGCTGCTTTTAGACCAGACAACCTGGAAGTCCCAGCTGCACACCGGGCCTAAGCAAGTGAGAGTGAGGACAGTCCCACCAGAACATTTGCATCCTCAGGGTCCATGGAGGAGCAGTGACCAGAGTCCCCACCCCAATGAGAGTGTTTTGTTCCTTCCTTCCAAGAAACCCTAAACATCATGCCCACATCACCATGTTGTGAAATGCAAAACTCTGAGGTTAGGTCTGCCTCTGTAACCCCACTGGCTTTGTCACTTCTGCGAATCTCCTGGACATTTTGGCTCTCTCCCCTACCCAGTTCACTCCTTGAAAATGCTTCAGATAGTAAAACCCCAAATGGAGGGAGAACAGAAAGCAAAGCAGAAATAAAGAGATGGGGAAACTGAGACACCCTATGGGGGTGGAGGGGATCTCCCCACGGGTCAACTAGCAAATCAGAGGCAGCCCTTCCCTCCCAGGCTGGCACTGTAGTACTTATGACATGTGCTAGTATGTGCTAGTAGGAAAGTACACAACAGTCTAGCAAGTTGTAAAGATAGAAAGATTCATCCATTTGACAGCAGGGGCAGCTCCAAGGAGAGTTAAACCAGTAGAGAGTAGTTCTGGCTGGCATACATAAATTCCTCTTTATCCTTGGGGCCACTTTAAAAGTGCTGTCTACACAAGTCTCAAGGTTCAAATGGTCTCCTCTTTCTGGCTGGGGAGGGTCCATCCCCATAATCATCCTCAACTCTCATCTTCAACAACCTGTCCCATCAACAAACCACAAAGATCTCAGCTTGCTTTAGCCTTCTACCAGCTTGTTTTCTTAACTGTTTCAGGCTAGAACTCATTCTCCCTCTGAAAGACAGCTTTCAGTGCAGCTCTGCCCAGTCCAGGACCAACGGAGCCTGTGGGCCACAAGCTCCAACAGCCACAAGTTATCCTTGCATACATACAACCAGAGGCACTGTCTCTGACCCAGTAATGCAGAGGAAGCACAGTCGTGCCCCAAACCAACATCCTCACAGAAAAATACACACTTAGAGATGCACAAATAGTCAGACAGACAGCATTCTTCTCAAGTTGGAATATACTCAAACAAATACACCTACTGGAAGCCAAGGTGAGTCATATGTGAACAGATACCACCCTCACATACACCCAAAACTAAGGATAGGACAGTCAGATACTTCACAGTGAGTTATCAGATATCATCCACTAGGTCTGACCAGAACTCCCTCTACACACCTGCGCACACAGGGCGTGTTCCTGGGAAAGGTCTGATTTGAGGTCGGGGAGTTCCACTCCCTAGATCCAAATATCCCATCATGGAAACATCAGACTTCTCAGCCCTGGAGAGCAAGGACCTTGTTAAGGGTCCCCTCTGCTCTAGCAAAGCCTTAGCACTTAAAACAACCAACACACCTACCTCCAGGGCTATCTTGCAAGCCCCAAAAAGGCCAAGCAGGATAAAGAAGCATGGATGTTAGGTCTCTTCCATCGCCGGGGTTCTCGATTCTGCCTCTGGTCCTCTCAGCTCTCCAGACTCTCTTTTCCCCACGCGCCTCGTATCCCACCCGACCCTGCGGTCCGCAAGCCTCCACGTGCCCAGCTCTCTTCCTAGTCCATCCGGTTCAGAGCTCCTCACACGCCCCACGCGCTCCCCCCCCACCCCAACACCAATGCCTGCCTGCTGGCAAGGACCTAACACCTCCCCACACCTCCCGGCGCCACAGCCTTACCAGTACCAGAGTGCCGGAGGGTGCGGCGGCTGCGCTAAGCTAGTTCTAAGCCTCTGTTCGGCGCGCCAGCTCTTGAAGCGGCAACTCCGCTGAGTTCCCGAGGCGCTCAAAGCAGGTTCTCCAGGGACGCCCGGGGTCTGCGCGCGGAAACCTGGCTCCAGCTCTGAGGACGACCCGCGGGGCGGGGAGGAAGGCGGGCCAGCGAACCCAGCCGACACAACGCGCCGAGCCCAGTTCGCTGCCACCCTGTCCGATTCGCGGAGCGGCGCGCGGAGGGAGGAGTTTTCCCAGAACGGGACTGCCGGGAAAACAAGGGAGATCCCTATTCCTGGAGCGGTGAGTCAACGGCCAGAGGAAGGGAGCCGAAGAAGCTGGCCCGCGCGGGCGGCGGGGGGAACAGAAGAGGGGCTGGGCAGCCGCAGAGGTCGCAGGGTGTAAGAGGGAGACGGAGCTTGGAGCGCGGCCGGAGCCCGCGGACCAGGGCGGGAAGGGCGAAGCGGAAAGAAAGGAACGAGTAGAGCACGCGGCTGGGGCGTGAGGCGAGCCGGGCACTCACCTGGAGAACCAGGCGGCGGGCGCTGGAGCCGGAGCTGCGGACCCTCCGGTCACCGGCCCGGAGTTTGAAAGGAGGGAGCCTGGAATGTGCGGAATGAGGGCTGGTATGAGATGCGCGCAGCTGAGGGAGGGAGCCGGAGGGAGTGGCGGCCCCGCCACCGGCCCCTCGGGGTGGAGACTGGGAAGTGGGCCGACGGGGGAGGGGGATGCCGGGTGGGGCGGGGCCAGCACGGGAGGGAGTCGGGCGGGGGAGGGGCGGCGGGCTCAGAGCTGCGCGGTGCTGACCCCCATCTTTGACCTCAGCTTCGGGATCTGGCCTCTGCGGTCGCTTGCACACAAACTTTCCCTTTGATCTCTCGGCCGGACTCTTCACTCCAAGCTCCGGATTCCTGCCCCATCGGGCGGAACCCGATGGAGCTGAAAGCTTTCCCTTTAGCCAGGGCGGGGGTATCTTGTCTTTGGACCCTGCCCGGGCTTCGCACCTCGCCACCCTCTGCGTCCGGGCTGCGGACCGACTTCCCTGCGCTCAAGTCCGCGAAAGGCCTGGGAGGGGCGGGTGCCTCTCAGCGGCTCACACCAAGGGGCCTTCGCTCCAGGGAACCAGGAAGTTCCTGCTTCGACTCCATCAATGCTGCTTTTAGACCAGACAGCCTGGAAGTCCCAACTTCGGGCTCTAGTCCCAGATCCTCTTCCAGTGCCCCCACTCGTCCCCTCCCAGCAGTAGTCAGTCCTCAGCCTTTCCCTTCTGTGGCTTGCTGATCTGCAGAGCTGTCGATACAGATTACTCACGGGGGAATGGAGTAACTCAATGAGTATACTAACAGATATGATATGTCCACCAGGTGGTGTGAAACCATGATGAAGGATAAGACCTCAGCACTTGCCCTCAAAGACTCATCATTTAGCTGGGAAGACTATACACTGAAGAGCATTGCCATAAAGTGGGGTATCGGTTTTAAACAAACACAGCAGGAGAATTTAGTATCTTAAGGGGAGAGAGGTCCTGGAAAAGCACTGGGCTCCCATTTGGAAGTCTTCAGAACATACTGGCTTAAAGCAGGGTGTTATCACATACCTCTATCACCCACCTTGTTGGGAGGTTGCAACCAAAGGACTTTGGCTTTTTCCAAAAATCAAATACAACCTCTATGGACTATCGTCACTTAACCTTCAATTGCAATAGTTGTCCAGGTCTTATCTCCCTCACCAATCAGAGACTTCCTTGAAGACTGAGAAAATATCTAATTTGTCTTTCACCCAGCACCATCTTGGTATCTGGGATAAATGCATTAAAAATATTGAAAAAATGAAAAATGCTACCACAGAGGATATTGGAAAGAAAGTGATGTGAATGCCAAAGTTGTTTCTGAGAGTATTCCAAAGATGTTTTGAGTAATAACAGCATCCCTGTCAGAAGTATCCAGTCTCAGAAGCAGAAGACTTTGAAGGCAGCAGCTCCTGTTTGTATATACAGATTCTGGTGTACTTGTTAAATAATGAGTCACACCAGACCTGGTCACACCTCATACACATGAACAGATTGCAATACAGGAGAGCATATAGGCACTAGCCCTTTAATATAATAACCATTTGTTAAGTGTCTTTTTACTGAGCTCTATGCTAAATGCAGGGGTAGGTCCTTGCCCTACCCTCAAGAAGTTTACAATCTAGGTGGAAAGAGGAAACAATTATACCAAAATAAGGAACAATGAAATTCAAGTTACAAGGGGAACATATAATCTAGCTCTTGACAGATAAATGAGAGTTTGCCAAATTTTGACTGGAATACCCACAAAGGTATGGTACAGAAGGTGGTAAGGAGAAGTCTTGTAAACTGATGTGGCTGGAGAATAGGAGCTGGGGAAAATAGATTACAATTAGTGGGTGCCAGGTTGTGACGATCACCACATCCCATACTGAAGAGTTTGGGTACCTATGTCACAGGTGTGACATAATCAGCACCGACGTCAGATAGACCCTTCTAAGGCTGGATTGGAAAATCACATGCCTTATACTCAGGCAGTGGTCCTAATGTTGAAGATGTGGAAAAGGGTTTAGGGAATAATCTAGAGGCAAAATCATTAAGAACTTGTGACTAGAAGGGTGAGAAAGGGAACAAAAATCACTAAATTTGATAACTGAACAAATGGTGGTAACATTAACTGAGATAATTCAAACAAAGGGAGGAACAGGTTGTGTTGGTAGGTGGGTCTAGCCAGGGTCCAAGGACTGAGCGGAAGGCAAGACAGAGTCCAGAGTATAGACAGAACAACCTTTCAGTGTCACTTCAGTACGGACTACTGAGAGGAAATTTGGAGAACAGACTGGCTTATTCCTTTCAAATATTAACTACCCAAGACCAAAAATGATCCTAGCTGCAGTGATGACCTCAGGTCTTAAGCCTCCTGGTCCATGCCCTCACTGGCTTCTAGAGAGCTCTTCAGAAATGTGTTCTCAAGCTGTTGAAGTCCCTCTGGGTGAAGACTGATTTTCCACACATGTCCTGCCCTTACCAAGGGTATTTAAGGGACAGAACTCTCATTCATTGACCCTCAGGAATGACTGTTGGTAGAAATGTTTCATCTGTCTGGATCCAGCTAGAAGAGATGCATATAGCTCCCTTCAAACTATGCCATATAATCAATCCAGAGCTCCTCTCACTTCCTAGCAATCCAGGCTGCTCTCTCTGGTCCTGCCAATGGACAGTCATTCAGGCTTGCACGTGAGTGGTGCAGAAAGAGGGGGTGTGGTCTGGGCCCATCTTGATGTGGGAAGGGTACCTGTGTTGTCTGTACTACAAAATCAAAGTCCAAAATCATATTAGTTTTATCACGTTGTTTAGTATAATTTCCATTCCTTTAATAAATTTTGTTTTTCCAACCTCTATGGTCATAGTTAAACAAATTATCCAGTATATGATACTGTGTTAATCAAGTGCAACCACATCTGTGTAATGAAATTCTTTCTTTTTTTTAAGATTTTATTTATTTATTTATCTTTAGAGGGGAAGGAGAGAGGGAGAGAAACATCAATGTATGGTTGTCTTTCGTGCATCCCCTGCTGGGAACTGGCCTGCAGGGAACGGGTCTGCAACCCAGGAATATGCCCTGACTCGGAATCAAACCACGATCCTCTGGTTTGCAGGCCTGTGCTCAGTCCACTGAGCTACACCAGCCAGGGCTTGTGTAATGAAATTATTTACAGCTGTCAATAACAAGATGTTTTTTAATAAACCAAACATTCATGCTATAATAAGTGGGAAAGTGGATTTTATTTGATTATTGTTATTATTTTAATTTTCTGACCACAAGTTTATTCACCACAAAATAACCCCTCCAACTTTACTGAGGTGGTTGACGCAGCCCTGGCTTGGGCTTCAGGGTCTGCACCAGGGGGCACAGCACTCCATCTGTAAATGTCTCTGTCAGCTTTCCCTTGTATGAGTCTTGCAGGTCACTTGTTCTCCAGACATGTGGGCTTTGGCCTGCCAATCTCAGGGCATCTGCAGTGCACGATCTTAGGGGGCAGGGAGAAGTAAACACGGAGATACTGGATGCCCTTGTTAGTAAGGTACCAGTAGAAATGCCTCTAGGTAAACTGTTCCATCACGTCGTGATTTGAGAGACTGCATGGCCTTCATAACGTGAAGATTAGGCACATTCTTGTCTGCCAGCTCAGGGTATTTAGCCATGTGCACATCCTTCTTAACTACCATCACTCCCTCCTTAAAAAGTTCATAAACGACAATCTGGTTCTTGGGCATCAACATCACTGTGGCGGCTGCATCTGGGGCCAGAGCTGGAAAGGAAGAGGGGAAAGTGAATTTTAAAAACAGCATATATAGGATGATCTGTTTTTGGAAAATAAGTTGAAAACATTTTTAAAGGTTTTATTTATTCATTTCTAGAGAGAGGGGTAGGGAAAGAGAAAGAGAGAGACATCCATCGGATCAGTTGCCTCTCACACACCCCCAACAGGGGACCTGGCTTGTAACCCAGGCATGTGTCCTGACTGGAATCAAACAGTGACCTTTTGGTTCACAGGTTGGCGCTCAACCCACTGACCCACACCAGCCAGGGTGAAAAATATTTTAGAACACTTATCTCTGACAGCTTGAAGATAAAGGATTTATTTATCTCATTTTTATTCTTTATTTTCTGTAACAAATGTGTCCTTGTTTCTTAATGAGAGGACAAAAGATGACTAGAACCATATGTCTAAGCTTTCTGTAACTTTTCCACAGGGTAATTTTTAAAAAGCCCTATAACTTAATAGCCTAGGTAAAAGTTGACAAGGACAGAGTCAAGGAAAAATTGTTTCCTAGTCTTCTGGGAAAAGGCAAATCTGCGTTTGAGACATTCCCAAGCACGCCCCGCCCCACCTTCAAAAGCATGTGCCAGCTGCTGTGGTCAACTAGTGTTCTGCTGCCTTTCCTTGTTTAATCTCTCCACACAGTATTTCCAGGTGTTTTTTCCTTAAGAAGGATCTTTACTCCATCATAGCTGAACTGAATCTTGTGTTTTAAAGGACAGATTTTTATTAAAGTTTAGAGTCTTTTTCCCCCTCTATAGAATAAAAGCAGTCTGTAATTTGATAAACACAATATTAGTTGTTATCTCTTCATCAAAGAAGAATGTGAGATGCAAATTAAAACCACAATGAGATACCACCTTACACCTACCAAAATGACTACCATCAATAAATCAACAAACGAGTGTTGGAGAGGATGTGGAGAAAAGTGAATCCTGATAACTGTTGGTGGGAATGCAGACTAGTGCAGCCACTGTGGGAAAACAGTATGGAATTTCCTCAGAAAATTAAAAATGAAACTACCTTTGACCCACTTCTGGGAATATATCCTAAAAATCCCAAATACCAATTTGAAAGGATATATGTACCACTAAGTTCATAGCGATGTTAATTTAAATAGCCAAGATCTGGAAGTAGCCCAAGTGCTCAACAGTAGACAAGTGGATAAAAACTTGTGGTACATTCACACAATGGAATTCTAGATGGCAGTAAAAAAAGAAAAAAGAAAATCTTACTTTTGCAACAGCATGGATAGACCTGGAGATTATTATGCTAAGTGAAATAAGCCAGTCAGAGAAAGACAAATACTATATGACCTCATGTGGAATCTAGTGAACAAAATAAACTGACAAACAAAATAGAAATGGAGGCATGGACACATGGAACAGACTGACAGCTGTCAGAGGGGAGAGGAGACTGGATGAAAGGTAAAGGGATTAGCCAAAGAACATACATGCATAACTCATAGACACAGACAATGCTGTGGTGATGACCTGAGGGAAGTGGGGACAGGGGCTGGGTGGAGGGGGGCAAAGAGGGGAGGGGAATGGGGACATCTGTAATAGTATCACTAAAAAGAGTGAAATAAGTAAATAAAATTCTAAAAACGTGTGAAAGACTCTAAAGGGCTTATCTGTGTCCCCCTCCCAAATTCAAGTTGAAGTGCTAATACCCAGTACGTTGGAATGCTGGAATTCCACTAGATTTGGAGATAATGTCTTTAGAGAGAGAAGTTAAAATCAGATCTTTCACGCCCTAATTCAATCTGACTGGTGCCCCTTTAAGCTTTAAGAAGAGGAAATTAAGATACAGACAACTCCCAGGGGACTCCGAGGACAAACCATGTGCAGACACAGGGAGAAGAGGGCCATCTATAAGCCCAGGAGAGAGACTTCAGAATAAAACCAAACTTGCCAACACCTTCATTTTGGACTTCTAGCCTCCAGAACGTGAGAACTAAATTTTTGTTAAAGCCACCCAATGTGTGGTATTTTGTTGTAGGAGCTCTAGCAAACTAATACAGTGTATTTCCACACTGAAATAAAACTATTGGTTTCCAGAGCCCAGTGGTTGAAGCCTTCTCCATATAACCTCAGAGTTTCTCTGAGATTCCCAGAGTATCTTTTGGATCAGGTATCTAGGATCTTCCTTTAAAAAATCAAAAGGAAGAAAAAAGGCTTATTCAGTTAAATACTCATTTTCAGTAACTCTGATACAGTATTTTAAAAATGAAAGTTAACGTAGTCATGTCCTGTGACCTTACCGGGGAATTAATCTCAGGTCTAATGACAGCTTGGCCACATACTAATTAGGACCTTGGGCACACTTATATTATGAGCCTCGGGTTCTTCGTCACTGTTTTTCATTCCAAACCCACTGAACATGTATGATGTCCTTGGCACTGTGCTCAGGTAGGCAGTACGGATAAATAGCAATGCCACAATCCCTGCCTCTCAAGCTAACAAGATAATGAGGGAACTAGACAAGTAACAACTTCCAGTTGGGAGAATTGTTGAGAAGACAGTTAAGATCTGAAAACCTAAAGGTGAGGTTTCTGTGGACCAATGCTCCAAAGAGAACTTTCTAAAATAACAAATGTTCTTTATCTGCCTGTCCAACACGGTAGTCAGTAGCCACATGTGCCTATTGAGAACTTGCACATAGCTAGTATAACTGAAGAACTGAACTGTGTTTTACTTTATTTAAATAGCTACACATGACTAATAGCTATGGCGTTGGACGGCACAGCTGTGTAGCATCCAAAAGATGTTGAGCAGGCAGGTAACACTTGCAGAACTAGGAAAAGAATCCAGACTGTGGCAGACATCAAGTTTAAAGGTGTAATGTGAGAGTTATTGAGCATAAAGAGTGAAAAAGATTAAAGTAAATAATGGGTCCCTGGAACACTGTATATACTCAAAACCTGGTGCTAAAATATCTTAATGTGCAAATTGTCTTTGTATAGGAGACCAGTTAAAAGCACTGTGGTACTTCCTATGATGAAATAATGTGGAGCACAGACAAGTATGAGGAAGGGCTATATTTATGGACATGGGAATATCTCCAAGATATATCAACTGAGAAAAACAAGCTACTGAACTGAGAGTATCATATGCTACTGTTTGTGCACAAAGGGTGGGAAATTACAAATACATTTTTTTTGCATAAAGAAACTGGAAATAAATTAAACATGGTTAACTGTACATAAGAATATGACAGGGCAAGGGAAACAAGGACACACGTGGAAGGAGGTTTTAATTATATACAGTCTTTAAACTTTTTCAAAAACCATATAAAATTGTTACTATTTAAAATTTGTACCTATATATCCAATGTATAAGACTACCAAAGGCAAAATCAGGATATTTTTCAGGTCATTGTTTTTTTGGTCCTCACCCAAGTATACATTTACTGGTTTTAGAGACAGGAGGGAGCAGAGAGAACATCAACTGGCTGCCTGACATCCAGGCATGTGCCCTGACTGGGAGTCAAACCCTCAACCTTTTTGGTGTATGGGATGCAGCTCTAACCAACTGAACTATCTGGCCAGGGCTTAAGGTCATTAAAAAAAAAAAAGAAAAAAAAAGAAAAAAAAAAAAAAAAAAAATTTTCATCTTACATTGATGTAATTTGTCCTGAACATGCCTTAGTACTCTAGAAATTCCATTTAGACCCCACTTCTAAAATATTGATCTAACTCCTGGCCCTGGTCTGTGTGAACCCCTCCTTTCCTCTCTGACCATTCTTCCTTCCTCACCTTCCTGCCCCCAGGCTACAGAAGAGCGGAAACTACTGGATTTTTACTCTCAGAATCCTTAAAAATCATAAGAGACAGAATCTGGGTAGATAGTTAAAATAACCTGAACTTGAGAACCACTACATTAAGCCAAAATGTGTAACAAAAGGTACCTGGAGCACTCCCACTGCCACTCCCTGCCAGCTTCACCCTCTGTGCACTTTCCACTCCTGGGCCACAGCCAGGCTAGAAGTCAATGTGCAAAGAAGCTTGCTCGGGCCCGATGGACCAAAAGACTAGGCACAGCCAGAACAAATCAGAGACGCCCATTTCATATTTTTAAAAACTTCCATTGACATAATATCAAGACTGTTTTTGGCCTGGGCTGTTCCTTCAAATAGAAACAGAGAGATGGGTACAAAATAAGGAATGTGAGGTAGGACTGGGATGAGGATTGAACATGGATGTTTAGTTACCCAGAAAAACAATGCTATTTTTTCTTTCTTTTCAACACAGTCCCTGGAAAACCATCCAAAATGGCTTTATATGGCCCTGGCTGGGTAGCTCAGTTGGTTAGAGCGACATCCTGATACACCAAGGTTGCAGGTTCAATCCCCATCAGGGCACATACAAGAATCAACCAATGAGTACATAAATAGGGGGTGGGCTGGGATGGGAGTAAAAGAAAACGATACTTGAAAAATAAATTAATTAAAAGAAAAGATGCTTAAAAAAGAATACATAAATAAGTGGAACAACAAATTGATGCTTCTCTCCCTTCCTCTCTAAAAATCAATCAAAAAACATTTTTTAAATATCCTTAAAATTGCTTTATGAGCATTTAACAACTACTTTGTATAACTGCATGGCTTAAAAAGTCAACTAGGATTCATTGTTTTAATGTTTTTTAAAAAAGAGATTTTCATTTATTTTGAGAGAGGGGGGAAGGGAGGGAGAAAGGGAGAGAAACACAGATGTGATGTGCAAGAAATACATTAATTTGGTTGCCCCTTGCATACCCCCAGCTGGGGACCTGGCCCTGCAACCCAGGCATATTCTCCGACTGGGAATTGAACCAGTGACCTTTTTGTTTCAGAGGCTGGCACTCAATCATTTAGCCACAGCTCCTCAGGCTGCATTGTTTTATTTTAAAAGAACGTTCATGAATATGATATTTGCCATTACTAAATGTTTACAATGCCAGACCCCAGGCATTTTACCTGGACTATCTCAATTAGTTTCTAAGCTCCAGAAATACTACTCTCCTCAGTCCTTCAGAAGAGTCATGCCATAGCACAACTTTACTGGATAGATTACAAGGTCCACTTGTTGAAATCATCCTGAGCCCTTTGTGACTCCCTCATCTGGATGTCGCAATCTGTGCTATTCATTTTAAAGTTTGTAATGTGCACCACTGGTCAGTAGATGGTGCCAGGAAACCATCTGTGGCATAATTAGGGGTTGCCAAAAGTTCTGACAGCACCGAAGACAAATCCTGCATTCACTATGGCATCCTTAGGTTTTTGTGAATGAGAGGAGTTATGTGTTGGCTGATAAAGTAGACTGTAAGACTTTTGAATATACACTGACTATGATAACTAGGAGACCTAAGTGGGTAGAGGAAGCAAAATAACATTCAGTTGGTCAACAACACGTCTGAGTAGTGGGACAGAATCTGGTCAGTCCTTGGCAAGCCCCTAGCAGGGGTCCAAGTGAGGAACTTTGAGAGGGCTACAGACTGGAAAGAAGCAGATCTTAGACATATGGCCTGAGGACACAGGCCCTTTCTATCCAGAGGAGAAGCTGGAGGCTCAGAAGGGCAGCTTGCAACACCTGATTTTCTCCGCAAAGCAAGATATCCCTAGTTATTGGGGGAAAGCAGCTTTAAGGTTATGCGCTTCTTTGGTGTGAGATTCTAGTTACCTATTTTGTGCACTTCTGCCACTCCAGAATGTCCCCTCTAGTTCCTTAGCTCAGGCCCCTAGGGTCTTTTCCTGAGGTCTGTGTTGTCCTCCCAGCACTATCTTCAGCCACAAACAACCCTTATCTATCCAAAAGGTAGCCAGAGAGTTCAGTTCAAGACATTTATGGGAATTCCAAATTATTGCCAGCATGAGTGGGGAGAATCATGTAATTCAAAAATTAAAGATGGTTGTATAATAGAAAATCAATCAACAGATGAGGAAAGAGGCATATGACAAATCACTAGCAGAAAAAGGGCCAGAACCCAGGGATTTTTCCCTCAGTTGACCCACTGCTTTTTTTCTGCACCCATCATGCTATGTAAAGGAAATGAACTGATGCTAGTTTGTTTCTTTTATGATCTACTAAACTTATAATCAAGAAGAGCCTTTTGCAGGTCTGTTTTAGATTTTTAAATTAACACTTGCTGATAGCTTGCATGTCAATAATCACTGATATTATTCCTGGTCACTGAAAAGTATATGAAACTGGTCATAAATAACCTCTTTGGCCACACATGCACCTTAGCCAAAAAGAATTGTGTGAGAAGCTGTAAAAATTAGACTTTGATTCTAGCTCTCATCCTGATTTTTAGGCTCTTCCTGCTGCTTTCCTGGGACTCACCAATATGACACTGATGAGGGCAGCAGTCTGGTACAGACTTGTGAACATACTTTTCTAAACTTGTCCACATAAGGTAGCTTTAAAATGTGAACACTTAAAGGAAAGAGATGCAGTCTATTTCACTATTAGATATTTGTTTTGCTGCTGAATCAGTAAGCAGTACAACAAAGATGATCTAGGAGAAGGACCAGTGCAGGTGTCCAGAATGAGATAAAACCCACCCTTCTGTGAGCCCCTCTAGGCCTGGCTCTCAGCTCCATTATCTATGCAGGAACTCTTGGTGACATTGTATGATGAGGCTACAGTCTCTGGAATGCAAACTTTGCAGTCTGCAGGCTCCCACATGACCCTGGTTTGAGTTTATGGTGTCCTTGAAGATTAGTTCACTGTTGCCAAGTGGTGACAGTAGGAACTATGTAAGAAATGGGGCTTTATGGCCTGGCTCCTGTGGCTCAGTAGATTGAGCTGGCCTATGAACCAAAGGGTTGCTGGTTCGATTCCCAGCTAGAGTGCCTAGGTTGCACGCCAGGTCCCCGTTTGGGAGTGTGTAAGAGGCAATCAATCTATGTTTCTCTCTCACATTAATGTTTTTCTTTCTTCCATCTCTCCCCTCTCTCTAAAAGTAAATAAATAAAATCTTTAAAAAAAAGAAATGGGGCTTTGAAAAGAACAATGGCAACACTTCCACTTTTATATAAAGTATTTATTTTTGTGGCATACAAAAAGTATAAATATGATTTACATAAAACCAATCACCTGCACATTCAAGCAGCAAATACATGAAGCAAGAAAATAAATGTCTCTGAGCCAGAGGAAGCAGAAAGGAACAGGATTAGAGCTGGTCAGCCCAGGAGGCTCCCCTTCTCCAGATGCTGTCAATTATTACAACCAGACATAGTGATCAGCTTTGTTTTCAAGGAGGACAGCTCACCTGACAGTACTTGAGGAAGGTGGTGCCAGAGGTCTGAAGGGCTTTGGGCACTTCTATGAAGGAGGCACTTGATGGAAGCATGCCTGAGATGGAAACCAATCATGACAAAACACATCACATAGGACTTTCAAGTGGGGAGAAGCCAAAGGACTTTTCATCTCACAGACCGCCTTCTGTCACAATGCTTTTTGATATGGAGCATGGAACAACAGGAAGCAGAGGCAAAAAGAGAGTCCACAGAAGGGAAACAAAATGGAACAATGACCACTGATATCTTGCCCCACACTGGCAAACAGCTCAATGCACAAAGGCTTGGGTGTTGAGCATTGCTGAATGCAGCACTCACAAAATTACTGGATTCTCAAGATTCAGGTACACTCTGAGACAGGTGAGCTGACAGCAGAGTCACATTATCAGCAGAGGTGCTAATAATCTGAACAACTTAGCAAAACTCATGATCTATGAGGAAGACAGGAGCTTCATCTGTACCAATGAACCAGGCTTTAGGGAGCTGATAATATTTATTTCAAGAAGAAAGGCCCCAAGTTCTGCCCAGTAAGGTCTGCAGAGCTCAGGAGTTAGCTGGTTGCCACCAAGCCTCTCCCGCCACCACTTTTGATAATGACAGAGTTTCAACACATAATAATCTCTTACTTCTTACATGGTCTACAGGTGTGTGTGTCCCTTTGAACCATCGCTCCATATTAATACAGCTGGGGAGGCACTCCTGGGTTGAAAATGAAGGCATCTGTCAAATTACTCTCAGTCTTAAGTAGACTAAGTCACCTCTGGAGTTTTTAGTCTGAACTGAAATTAAGACAATTATATAAAATTCTCACATCACCAGTCACAAATGTGGCCATAGGCTCTTTGACTGAACTTGGTGCCAGCCAATCTGCTCTGAGGAAAGAGGGGGACTGACATCAGTACCTTCCAAGCACCATGGGGACACCAAGCTAGCTCTAAGAAACAAATACTATACTCCCTGTTGTTAAAACAATACAATTCTAGATTTGTTTCCTAGTGAGCGCAAGTTCTTTTCTTGGGGAAGGTAAAGTGGCTGGCATTGTCTTCTCCTATAGGTGTGTCAGGCAGGTTAGGGGAATTAAGCCACCTGTGTGGACTCAAAATGATCGTGGACCTTGGAGTTTTCCAGTTCTGATGATGAACAATACTCTAGAAACCATCGTCACCAAAACAAGGTAGTGCTTTGTTAACAGTGAATGCAGCTGAGCACCTCTCTGGATCCAATCTGTAGGACTTCTCCATTTCCCACTCATACCGTTGCATAATAGGAGCCTCTTCTGGAAACGCCCAAGTCCAGAGAGTATAAAGATATACCTGAAGCAGAGGTTGGCAAACTATGGCCCACAGGCCAAATCTGGCTACTGCCTGGTTTTATAAAGTTTCACCAGAATAAGGCCACCCTCATCCATATATGAACTGGCCATGGCTACTTCTGCACTACAATGACAGAACTGAGTAGTTCTGAGAGAGACCATCTGGCCCTTGAGGGGAAAAAGTTTGCAGACCTAAAGTTAGAGACTAAAGTCAATTTAGGGAACTGTTCCTCTCTGAAAATGTCTTCAAAAAAGACACCCAAGTATTTAATTAGAACCTGATTCTAGCTACAAGTTTCCAAGGAAATCTGACTCTTGCACAGAATCTATAAGAGGCAATAACCTCAAGGGCTATCATTGTGCTCTGGACAAAAGCCTTCCTCTGCTTTTAATTAATAATTTCTCACGTATGTTAACCTATAGTCCTTGACCAGGTCTGTGAAATCCAGAGAAGTGGGGTGTGTGTGTCTACATGTGTATACATAACACATACATGTATGTATATACACATATACACACACATACATTCAGGGATTATTCCAAAAGGTGCAGATTGTCTCTCTTCATGTCCTGGGCCAAGAGCAAGGTAGGCAACTACCTGCTCCTGAAAGCTCTGTAGTGAGAAAGTCCAGCTCTGTGTGTGCTTTCCGTCTCATTCACACGCTAGCTTGCTGTCAAAGCTAGAAAGCCCAATGGCGAAGGCCTGAAGTGCACACAGTGGGTAGTTGTAATCCAGGGTGAACACGTCGTCTGCCACACGTCCAAACTGCATGACTATATAGTCAGCTGGAAACACAGAAAATATGATATTAGAAGATAATGTGGCTGTACTAGAAAAAAGCCTGTTAACATACAAAAAAAACAAATCCTCCAAATAGGGTAGGTAATCAGCAGATCTCAACCACAGAGATGAGACTACTCCTGACCAGCATGAAAGGGAAAGAAGAGAGATGAGTTAAGAGTAGCTTGCTGGGCACAGCACAAGTTTCACGAGCTAGAGTTGCCAAGGAACCTGTACCGAGTGAGCATCACTTGCATTTGCTTCTCAAACAGCCTCAGGCTTTTTAGTCCCCCTCAAAACATTGGTTCGGAAGTTTTACTGTAAAACTGTTGTTTTGTCTTTCCAAAGAAATCATTTCTTTCTGAGACAATTCTCTCCTGAATATAGCTTCCTATCAGTGATAGGAAATGTTCATTCCCCCACTGTGTAAGGACATCCTTCCTCCTGCGCCCATCCAGCCCTTCCTGTGGCTTACGGTCATTTTCGTGTACTATCTGAAAGTTCTTCACAGAAGCCTGAGTGACCCGGCCATGGAAGTTCAGGACATAGGACTGAGTGTCATCATTCCAGACTGGGGCCTTGTTGTGCAGCTCAATCAAGTTCTCCATGGTTTTGTTTTGCCATTTTGAAAGCAAGCTCTCATGGTCCTGTTTGAAAGGAAAATCACTGCTTTGTAAGAGAACCATAAGAAACCATTCATTCTCAACTCTGTGAGGGAGAAAGTAGAGTAGGGGAATATTTTCTCCATTTCAGAAAGGGTAAAAGAGAAGCAAAGTTATCAATTAAGCTGGGTTTTTTTATTCTTACAGATTGTTTAGCATTTGTCTTTGCAGACTGGTTGCAAATCAAGCACTCTAGCAACTAGTCTGTAATTGTACTTATCCTGAGGTTCTGGAGTGATGGATCTCCTAAATTGAAAGATGATGAGCAATACTCCAGTTTGGGGTTTTGGGTTGATGTTTTCTGTACTATATGCTTGTCTTTTAGAGTCCTTTACTGATTCAATATGTTCTTACGTTTCGTGGCCAAAATGGGATCCGTTGATGATTCATATTCATCCCTGGAATGATCACAGACATTTTCCTAGGACCTTTAAATCCAAGTACATTTGTTTCCTGGAAGACAGGTAAATAAGACAGAACTTGGAAACAGAAAGGAAAACAAGACCACCTTCCTTTTTTCTTTTCTATTACAGAGAGCAAGGGGTAGAGACAGAAACATTGATTTGTTATTCCACTTACTTATGCACTCATTAGTTGATCCTTGTAGTGCCCTGACCAGGGATCAAACCTTTAATCTTGACATGCAAGGACAATGCTGTAACCAAATGGCCAGGGCCAAGACCATATTCTTGACATAACACTTACCTGAGCCCTAAGAGCTATTTTATTATTACTATAGTTAAAGAGAGAGAGAGAATCAAGACCAGGAAAGTAATTATCCATCTCCCTCTTTTTAAACCTAATTGGAACACCTGAATTTAAACAGACTTATTGGTTTAAAATTTTACTCTTACTACTTAAATGAACTTTGAGACAACTGTGAGCAAACTGTCCAGTTCTTGTCATCAGTAAGTATTTATTCCTAGCCCTGGCCAGGTAGCTCAGTTAGTTGGAGCATCATCCCATATACCAAAAGACTGAGAGTTTGATCCCTGGTCAGGGCACATACCGAGGTTATAGGATTGATCCCCAGCCAGGGTGCATATGGGAGGCAATTGATTAATGTTTCTTTCGTCACCACCCCACTCCCCCCACTTTCTCTCTATCTAAAATTAGTAAAGATAATCCTTGGGTGAGGATTAAAATCTCAGAAATAAATCAATCAATCTTTATCTCCCAAAGAGAGTACAGCACTGTATGATCTACAGTGAAAATTACAGTGTAAATTAAATGGGGCCTGTATCAGGAGGTAAAAAACTCAAACGCCTCTCAAGCCAGGCAGATTATATATGAATAAAATAAGTACATTAAATATGAGGAAAGACCCAAAGACCCCATAATTATCTTGTTTATCTTGTTGAGGGTGGGCTCCTTATAGTTCAGGCTTCCCCCTTCCCCCATTAGGTTAGTGTTCTAGGAACACATCTGTATCAGTGTATCAGCTGGTGGTGTTGTGAGATGCTACATTCGGCTTCAGTGAATTTTTCCTAAGACTCTTTCTAGCATTTGCCCATTTCATCCTGGGTGATTTATGAGCATACTGACCCACACTGAGCTGAGTGTTCAGCAGGGGGTTTTTTTTTTTGTATTTTTTAAAAATATTTTATTTATTTATTTTTTGAGAGAGGGGAAGGGAAGGAGAAAGTGGGAGAGAAAGATCAATGTATGGTTGCCTCTCACGCGTCCCCTGCTGGGAACTGGCCTGCAACCCCAGGCATGTGCCCTGACTTGGGAATCGAACCGCGATACTCTGGTTCGCAGGCCCGCGCTCAATCCACTGAGCTATGCCAGCCAGGGCGTGTTCAGCAGTTTTTGACCCAAAAGTTCATGAACCTCATACCCTACCCTCCCTATTTACCCACTCTTGTCCCAAGTAACTTTTTTTTTGTTTCCCTGGGTAAAAGGAAACATTTGCCGATGTGGAAGAGGTGAAACAAAAAACAGCAGAAGCACTAAAAGGCACTAAAAGTGATTAGTTCAAAAACTGTTCTGAGCGGTGAAATAAAGGTTTCAGTAGGTATATTGCACCAAATGGAGAGTACTTTGAAGGGGACTAAAGTTCAAACACGTCAGAATACACAGTTTTTTTGTAAATAAATTCTGGGTTTTGGGGTCGCCCCTTGTATGTGGACGTGTGTGTGTTTACATACATATCCACATGCACACAAATGACAGTCATGCACAGTTAAAATGTTAAGACTTTGGGGAAAAAATGTTGAGGCTTTGAGATCAAGGAACAGCTGAGTTGGGTTAATACCTTCCTGCTTTCTTTTTTTTTACTTAACAATTCTGAGAGGAAGCAGTGGGTGTATACAGAAGAATGTCAACCATGTCTAGCGGTCAGGAAAGACTCCTCTGATGATGTCGGCTGATACGCAAAGGGCAAGAAGGGAAACTAGGGAAGGTTCTCAAGACAAGGATGATCTTAAGGTAGAACAAAGGATAACAGGAGGGAGGGCTGCTGTGGCCAGAATGATAGGAAAGGACAGGGAGAGTGCTGCTAGAACTGTCTGCAAGGAAATTTCAGATTTTATTCTGTACATAATGGGTAGTCTAAAAGATTTGAAGCAGGAGAACAATAAGATCAACTGGAATTCTGTTTTAGGAAGATTTGTCTGGCAGCAGTACAGAATAAACAGAAAAAGACTACAAGCAAAGAGATCAGTTTGTAATTTATTGTAGCCTCTGGCCAATGGGTTTAGAGGTAATAAAGGTCTATGTTAATCCAATGGCATTAGGAAAAGAGAAGAGCAGATAAGGCAAGACATCCTAAAACAGTAAAAAAATAAATGAACTTGGCAATTCATAAATACTTAGAACTCAAACATATACAGAAAATGATTCCAGCAACAGAAAAGGGGGATCAGTAAATAGAAACAAGCCCGGGAGGGAAGATAGTAAGTTTAGTGTAAGATGTCAGCAGGGAATCCAGGAAGTGAAGGAAGAGGTACTTCCAAGGACAGCACTTACGTAGCAGATGGCTGCCAGCTCCTGCCGGGTATAGGCCTTTTCTACCAGACCTTGAGCTTTGGCGGGGCTGACACCATGGTCATAAACTGTAAACTTGGTCCCCATGAGGTTGGATCTAGAATCAAAAGAAAAAGTCACCATAATGGTCTATATTTTTTCTCTTACACAAACACAGTCTAGGAGAGGTACGTAACAGAACGGAAGGCTACCTGCCTATTTTCCAAATGTCTAAGTGTTCCTCATCACTTTTTCAAAGATCTCTCATTAAAACAAAGAAAGGACTTAGATTTTCTTTTAACTTCTTTGTCTTTAGATTACAATATTAATAGATTATAACTTACAAAAGCTGATTGTAAAAAAGATATGGGTTGTCCTAAAACTACACTGTCAACCTAAAAATAAAAGGCCAAAGTGAGAGGCAACAAGCATTTATTTGAGATCAAAAAAAAAAGAATAGCTATTCAGAAAGCACTGATTCAGAGGCAGAAACCCAAACAGTATTCTGATTAGGAGACAAAGGCAAGAGTTACTTATGAGAAAGGGAAAAGGAACTTATTACCTCAGTACAAGTAAGGCACTGCTAATTGGTGCAGATAAGCTAACATAGTGACACAAGTTCTAAATAATGGTTTTAATTTTTAATCCTATGGTCATCAGTCTTATAGTCATAATATCTGCTTTCTTGTTATCTTTGCACAATACATTTTTCAGCCCAGTCCAAAGATTATTCTGTCCAGTTTTAACATTCCAAAGGTTTGAGGCATAAGACGATGCAAATCAATTGCTCTGGGATGGCAGCTCCAACTCCTCCTTTTTTTATCCTCACCCAAACACATGTTTTTTTCATTGCTTTTAGAAGGAAAAGTAAAGAGAGAGAGACATCAATGTGAGAGAAAACATCTATTGGTTGCCTTCTCGTATGCGCCCTGAGCAGGGATTGAACTTGCAACCTGCCCTGACCGGAAATCAATCCACGACTTTTCCGTCTATGGGACAACGCTCCAACAGCTCAGTCATACTGGCCAGGACCCTGACTTCATTTTTAAAGTGATTCCACTTATATTATTTTTTACAACAGGAATAAAAGTATAAGAAAGAATAGGACAGTGATACAGGGATGCTATCACCTGAGTTTGCCAATATAACTTTCTCCTTCACGAGATAAATCTGTTGGATCAGTAGAGATAAGGTAATTGGATGTTTTGCTCTTTTTTCGCTTTCTACCTGCAAGAAGAAATATCTGGGGGGAAAAAAAGTCAGTCAATAATGAAGTCAGAAGAATCACTATGGTTTATTTTGTCTACTTATTTAGTAAATGTTTAGCAATGGCTATCCCAGTATCAAGCAGTCAAATCTTTGGTTTTTTGTTTATTATTGTTAAAGAGGCTTAAGTCACTTTAATTTTTCTTGTATGGACTATGTAGTGGCCACAGCTGGCCCCTGGGTCCTGTGCATGGAGACTCTGGTCTGGGTCTTTACAAGATGGCGAACTCCTGCTGGGGAGACTTGGTGAACACAGTCTCTTTTCCAGAGGCTGGGGGTGAGACAGCAGTGGATCTTGGAGCCGGCATCAAAGCTGGCCTTTTCAAAGTTGCCTAGGGTGACAGTGTAGCCCTGCCCGAGGTATAGCAGTCCTCAATGCTGCCCAGAAGCTGAGACAATGCCAGCATCCCTGACAGTGGGGATGAGGCCACCAACACAGAGCAACACTGGCCAGGCACCTTGCAAGGGACAGTGTGAGGCTTGCCAACCTTGTTTCCCCAGTAGCCTCACCATACAAGGACTATGGAGAGTTTTGCCAGCATGAAGGCCCCATGAATGGCAGTGGCTACTTCCTTCTAACATGTAATACATAGACTGACATGGCTGTTCTAATTCCCAATGGCAATAAATGTCTTGAACCTGGTCTGTATTACACAGACATAATCTTCAAACCTCATTCTTGAGGGATGGCCCAGAAAACCCAACATTCTGATTCCTTGATGGACAGGCAGAAGAGAGAGATCCCCTTCAGAGAGCCGATCATGTCTGTGACCAGAGGACCAAGCTTAGTGAAGGGTATCCACTGCTTGTCCTTGGCCTTGCCTCACAAACTCCATGGTCTTGATCCCCAGCTTCGAAAGAAGCCACCAAGTCCTCCCATTCCAGGGCCCCCAGGATCTCACCCTGTCTTGGCACCAGTGTCGTCACCATCTGGTGTTTTCTCAGAGAAGACCGATCTGTGTGGGTCTTTAACCCTTTTCATAATAGCCCTCATAATGCTTCTAAGAATTCACAAGCAGTGTCTCCCAACTGCGCAACTTTTCTAAGTTTGCTAGCTTTATTCTCTACATAACTATTTACAACTTTATCCCTGAAACCTCCAGTGACTTTTAAAAAAAGCTTCATCCAATTCCATAAAAAAGAGAAACTTTCCAACTTAAGGAGAGACAGGATCCTAAATACCTACCCTTCCCATTCTTTACTACAACTGCATTCCTAATACTCCTTTTGGTATTTTGTTGGGGCGGGAGTTGTATTTTTTAAACTTTTGTGACTTCAGTGGTATGAACAGCCTCATATTTATGCTTCCTTGCTAAACCCTACTGGACTTGGGCCATAATGGGAAGCAGAAGAGTGCTAGTATACACTAAAAGAAGACTTTGGAATAAAAAACATGTGGGTTTGAATCTGGTTCTGCCACTTAGTGGTATGACCTGGGACAGGATATCACTTCCTAAACCATAAAGCAGGGATATAAATCTCATCTTACCAGGTTGTCATAAGGATTGTAAGTGATAATGAAGCATTTAGCACATGCCTGGTACATCATAAAAACTCACTAAACAGTGGTCATAATAACAATGATATCTATTATCATAATCTAATTTCTAGGATCCTTAAATCATCCACTTAGACCTGTTAATAATACAAAATATACTGTTTAGTAGCAAATATTAAACTGTCTCAAACTTAGGTACAAAAGTAAATTAGAATTTCTAGGGTAGAAACAAGACTTTTCACTTGTATATTCTTTTATATTTTCAATTTATCCTATTCCCTAAAACTTGTTCTTTCTTCCACAATGTCATTTTCTACCATAATAAAAGTAAAAACCAAAGAGCACACGGTAACAGCCCCCATCCCAAAAAAGGAACAGAAGTAAAAATAATTACATTCAAATATTCTCTTCCATTTTCTTACATTCAGAATAAAACTCTTTTTTTGGTGTGGAGGGAGATTTTTGCCTATTGGATTATGAGCTCTTTGAAAATAGTGAGAACATAGCAGCTGGCAATTAATAAATATAATCTATTACCTCTAGCTGCCTTGGTATAATACCAGTGTTATTCCCCTATCACAAGACCCATCAACAATCTATTCTCACATTTTTCCCCTCTCTCTCAAGATTTGTCTTAAAAATCAATTCTCAGGTTCTAACTAGGTAGGTCAGCTGGTTGACCTACCTAGGCAGCTCTACTAGGTAGAGCAATGTCCCAACAGGCTGATTGTGGATTTGATCCCTGGTCACGTACAAGAATCAATCAATGAACACATTCAAAAGTGCAACAGCAAATCGACGTTTCTCTTGCTCTCAAATCAATAAGTACAAATTTAAAATAAACAGAATCAATTCTCATACCTTCCGATTTTCATCCTTTTCCAAGTGCATATAGTAAGTGGGAAAGAGACCCCCATCCATTCCTTTTTTATCTCTGGTTATCCGACACTTGACTGTGATGCCTCGAGGGGCAGGACTATAAGCAAAGTCCTCTAAATTCTCCACTTCTCCCAGCTGGTTATCATTTTGTTGGGCTGAAATACCAGAAGCTCCTGTATCCTGAAAGAACAGCCGTATATAAGCAAGAGGCAGGGTTAGAAACACCTCCTATTCTCTCTGAGAAACACTTCGTGGATAAAATAACATTGATTTATCCCTGTGTCTTCAGTCTTCTGACAAAATAATAGAAAACTGAGAAGTTAAGTAAGTATATGGATGTTTGGAATAATGAAGGAGCTTAAGTACAAAAATGGGATATAGCTTCACAATAGCTGGCTTGAGACACAAGAAATTTAGAGAGGTTATGAACTTTAAATTTGCGTTTAAATCTTTTGAAGCAACACTCACTCCATAATGGTATTTAAACACTGAAGATATATTTAGGAAATAGTTAAATTACCTCCAAAGGAAGAAATTTCAGAACTACATACTGTGGTTGACTTCTGGCTGGATGAAGAACTAGATCTTTCTGCCCCTGAACGTGGTGAATGAGATCTTAATTTTTCTCCTTCTTCTTCCCCATCAGTCTCCTCATCAAAGTTCAAACTACCTGAGATACCTAGAGGAAAAGGAAGAACTGTCAACAAAACTGGTTTAAAAAAGAAACCTTTGAACCAAAGAGAATTTTAATTTTCTTGCTTAAAACATTGTAAGCTATTCTGACTGAAAACACAGCGACTTTATCCAAATTTTGACAATTCTTTCTTCATATTCTCACTCAAATGTACCCCTTTGTCTTTTTTTCCCACTGTTGCCACCCTAATTTAGCTCTTTAAGACATTATGTGTGTGGGAAAAATATTTGCAAATCATGTATCTGATGAAGGATTAATATCTAGGATAAACAAAGAACTCCTATAACTCAACAACAACAAACAACCCAATTCAAAAATGGGTAAAGGACTTGAATAAACATTTCTCTAAAGAAGATTCGTAAATGGCTGACAAGCACCTGAAAAAGATGCACATCACTAATCATTACAGAAATGCAAATCAAAATCACAATGAGATACTACTTCACAAGAATCAGGATGGCTGTTTTTTGTTGTGAACAAAAAACAGGCACTGGCCAGGTAGGTCAGATGGTTAGAGCCAAGGCTGCAAGTTCAATCCCCACTCAGGGCACGTCCAAGAATCGACCAATAAATTTTATAAGTGGAACAACAAATCAATGTCTGTCTGTCTCTCTCTCAAAAAAAAAACAATAAAAAATACATAAAAGTTTCTTTTTTTAAACTAAGTGTTGGTGAGGATGTGGAGAAATTGGAACCTCGTGCACTGCTGGTGGCAATGTAAAATTAGGCAGCCACTGTGGAAAACATGGTGGTTCCTAAAAAAATTAAATATAGATTTGCCACATGATCCAGCAATTCCATTTCTGAGTATATAATCAAAAGAACTGAAAACAGAGACTCAAACAGATACTTGTACACCAATGTTCATAGCAGCAGTCACAATATTCAGAAGGTGAAAACAACCTGAATATGGATCAACTGATGAACAGATAAGCTGTGGTATATACATAAAGGTACTATTACGCAGCCATAAAAAGGAATGAGGTACTGATACCTGCTACAACATGATGAACCTTGAAAACTTTACGTTGAGTGAAAGAAGCCAATCATAAAGGACCACATAGTGTATGATTCTATTTATATGAAATGTCAAGAATAGAGCCCTGGCTGGTGTGGCTCAGTGGACTGAGCACTGGACTGCGGACCAAAGGGTTGTTGGTTTGATTCCCAGTCAGGACACATGCCTGAGCTGTAGGCCAGGTCGGGCCCCTAGTAGGGGGTAAGAGAGAGGCAACCACACTGATATTTCTCTCCCTCTCTTTTTCCTTCCCTTCGAAATAAATAAAAATAAATATTTTTTTAAATGTCAGGAATAGGCAAATCGAGAGGTAGAAGTAGACTGGTAGTTGCCTGGGGTTGTAGGGGTTGGAGAGAAATACATAGTGATTGCTAATAGGTACAAGGTTTCTTTTGGGAATCACGAATATATTCTAAAATTGAGTGTAATGATGTTTGCAGACTTCTGTGAATATACTAGAAACCAATGAATCTGTTCACTTTAAATGGGTGAATTGTGTGTTATGTGAATTATATCTCAATAAGCTATTGTAAAAAAAATTATCTGCCTTGGCCAGATGGCTCAGTTGCTTGGAATGTCGTCCAGTACACCAAAAGATTGCAGGTTCAATTCCCAGTCGGGAACATACCTAGGTTGAGGATTCGATCCCCAGTTAGGGTGTGAAGAGGAGGCAACTGATCCATGTTTCTCTCTTACATCAATGTTTTTCTCTCTCTCTCCCCCTGCCCCCTTCCTCTCTCAATAAAATAAATAAACAGGAAGCAGCCCTTGGCCATCAGCAGATGAGTGGATAAAACAACTATGGGACATTTGCATAATGGAATACTACTCAGCTGTAAAAAATAAAGAAGTTTTACCCTTTACAACAGTTTTATGAACCTAGAGAACATTATGCTAAATGAAATAAGCCAGGCAGAGAAAGACAAATACCATATGATTTTACTCAGATGTGAAATCTAATGAAGAAACAGAACTAACTAGGAGAATAGAGACAGACTCATAGAGAGCAAGCAGGATGACAGCTAAGGGAGAGGAGAACAGGGAGTGGAGGGATTGAGCAAAAAGGAAGAACTACTCATGGACATGGACCACAGTGTTTACAGGGGAGGGCGGGAGGAAGTATACAGGGATTATTGAAAATTAAAAGTATAACAAAATGACTTCTGGCCAAGATGGAGGCATAGGTAGATACACTTTGCCTCCATGCGCAACCAAAAGAAGGACAACAACAAATTTAAAAACAAAAAATAACCACAAATGCCAGAAAATGGAACTGTATGGAAGTCCTATAATCAAGGAATTAAAAAAGAAACATTCATCCAGACCGGTAGGAAGGGCAGAGACAGGCAGCTGGGCAGAGTGGGCGGTCCCACTTGTGTGCAGATAAACTGGGAGAAACAACTGGGGAGTGAGACAGACCACACAACCCAGGGTTCCAACACAGGAAAATGAAGCCTCAAAACCTCTGGCTGAAAAAACCTTTGGGAGTTGAGATGGCAAGAAAAACTCCTAGCCTCACAGGAGTTCCTTGAAGAGACCCACAGAGTCCTAGAACGTAGACCAACCCACCCACCCAGGAATCAGCACCAGAAGGGCCCAATTTGCTTGTGTGTACCGGGGGAAGTGACTGAAAGCCAGCAGGAGAGCTGAGCAAGCAGCATTGTTCCCTCTCCGACCCCTCCCTCCCGCAGAGCACCAAAATGGAGCAACATGGGTTGCCCCGCCCTGGTGAACACCGAAGGCTCCACCCCTTACTACATAATAGGTGTGCCAAGACAAAGAAATAGGGCCCAAATGAAAGAATTGATCAAAGCTCCAAAAATACAACTAAGTGATGAAGAGATAGCTAACCTATCAGATGCAGAGTTCAAAACACTGGTAATCAGGATGCTCACAGAAATGGTTGAGTATGGTAGCAAAATAAAGGAAAATGTGAAGGCTATTCAAAGTGAAATAAAAGAAAATGTACACAGAACCAACAGTAAAGGGAAGGAAACCAGGACTCAAATCAACAATTTGGATGAGAAAAAAGGAAGAAACCTTCAACCAGAAAAGAATGAAGAAACAAGAACTCAAAAAAACAAGGAAAGGCTTAGGAACCTCCTGGAAAACTTTAAACATTCCAACACCAGAATCATAGGGGTGCCAGAATAAGAGGAAGAACGAGAAATTGAAAACTTATTTGAAAACATAATGAAAGGGAACTTCCCCAATTTGGCAAAGAAAATAGACTTCCAGGAAGTCCAGGAAGCTCAGAAAAGAAGAAGTCCAAAGAAGTTGGACCCAAGGAAGCACACACCAAGGCACATCATAATTATATTACCCAAGATGAAAGATAAGGAGAGAATCTTAAAAGCAACAAGAGAAAAGGAGACAGTTACCTACAAAGGAGTCCCATAAAGACTGTCAGCTGATTTCTCAAAAGAAACCTTACAGGAAAGAAGGGGTTGGAAAGAACTATTCCAAGTCACGAAAGGCAAGGACCTACATCCAATATGACTCTATCTAGCAAAGCTTTATTTAGAATGGAATGGCAGTTACAGTGCTTCCCAGACAAGGTCAAGTTCAAGGAGTTCATCATCACCAAGCCCTTATTATATGAAATGTTAAAGGGACTTATCTAAGAAAAAGATAAAAAATATGAACAGTAAAATGACAACAAACTCACAGGTATCAACAACTGAACCTAAAAAATAAGGAAAACTAAGCAAACAACTAGAACAGGAACTAGAATCACAGAAATGGAGATCACATGGAGGGTTCTCAGCAGGGAGGGGGAGGGAGGAGAATGGAGGAAAATGTACAGGGAATAAGAAGCATAAATGGTAAGTACAAAACAGACGGGGAGATTAAGAACAGTATAGGAGGGACTTCAGCCAAGATGGAGACGTAGATGGAGGATCCACCTCGCCTCTGTGCACAACCAAATCTAAGAACAACTATTTTTAACAGCAGTCACAACCAAGCCACACGGAAAATCGACAATACGGAGTCCAAAGGACAACTAGATACTCGGCTGGACCGGTACGAGGAGCGAGGCCAGCAGCGGAGCAGGTTAGCAAGAAAAAATTCCCGGGGCGGTGCGCGGTGCGCGCAGGCAACCGAGGGCGCTGATCGCCAGCGAGCTGGCTGCCGGAGCGCATAGTGAAGAGGCGTGGTGGGTCGGTCAGTCGCGCACATTTACGTGCGGAGAAACCAATGAGAAGGGAAAACCGCGCGGTGCAGCAGGCTCGCACAATTAGGATCGGATAAGCAAGCCCGAGGCGTGTGAGTGACTGGATGCGCTGGGCTAGCGGAGAGGAACGCCATTGCTCCCTCTCTGACCCCGCCCCCACACACAGCGTCACAAACCAGCGACCTGGGTCGCCCCGTCCTGGTAAACAACTAAGGCTTCGCTCCGCTCACTTAACAGCACGAATAGACCAAAAATGGCTCTAGGACAACTCAGAGCCCCAGAACCGATAGACCTAAGTGATGAAGAAATAGCCAGTCTTTCAGATGCACAGTTCAAAACACTGGTTATAAGGATCCTTACAGAACTGGTTGACTTTAGTCACAAATTAGAGAAACATATGGAAGCTAAATTAATTGAAATGAATGCGGATACAAAAGATACCAATAGTAATGGAAAGAAAATTGGGACTCAAATCAAGGGAGAGAACCAGAAGGAAGAAAAAAATGATCAAACAGAAAGGAATGAAGAAATAAGAATTCAGAAAAATGAGGAGATGCTTAGGAACCTCCAGGACATCTTTAAACGTTCCAACATCTGAATTATAGGGGTACCAGAAGGGGGAAAGGCACAACCACCAGTTGAAAAATTATTTGAACAAATAATAAAGGAGAATTTCCCCAAGATGGCAAAGGAAATAGACTTCCAAGAAATCCAGGAAACTCAGAGAGTCCCAAACAAGTTGGACTCAAGAAGGAACACACCAAGGCACATCATAATTACATTAGCCAAGATTAAAATGAAGGAGAGAATCCTAGAAGCAGCAAGAGCTAAGGGGACAGTCACCTACAAAGGACTTCCCATCAGACTGTCAGCTGATTTCTCAAAAGAGACCTTACAGGCAAGAAGGGGCTGGAAAGAGGTATTCCAAGTCATGAAAACCAAAGATCTACAACCAAGATTGCTCTACCCAGCAAAACTTTCATTTAGAATGGAAGGACAGATAAAGTGCTTCTCAGATAAGATCAAATTCAAGGAGTTCATCATCACCAAGCCCTTATTATATGAAATGTTAAAGGGACTTACCTAAGAAAAAGAAGATAAAAAAGATGAACAGTGAAAGGACAGCAAACTCACAGTTATTAGAACCACACCTAAAACAAAAGCAAACTAAGAGGATAGCTAGATCAGGAGCAGAACCATAGAAATGAAGATCTCATGGAGGGTTAGCAACAGGGGAGTGGGAGGAGGGGAAGGGGGGAGAAGGTACAGAAAATAAGTAGCATAGACAGTAGATAGAAAATACATAGGGGGGAGGGTAAGAATAGTAGGGGAAATACAGAATCTAAAGAATTTGAGACACATGTTCATGAACTAAAGGGGGAAATGGTGGGGGAGGGGTATGCAGGGTGGAGGGGAAGGGAGGGGGGAATAGAGGAAATGTAATGGCATAATCAATAAAAAAAATAAATTTAAAAAAAAAAAAAAGAACAGTATAGGAAATGGAGAAGCCAAAGAACTTATATGCACGACCCATGGACATGAACTAAGGTGGGAGAATGATATTGGGAGGTCGGATGCAAGACAGAAGGGAACAAAGGGGAAAAAAAAATGAGACAAATGTAATAGCATAATCAATAAAATATATATTTTAAACAGATAAATAAAAGTCATTCTAAGACCAAAATAAAATAAATAAAACATATACTTAGGTGAGGATTAAAAAAAGAAAAAATTATTTGGTTTGTAAAGGACATTTTTCTAAAATTTTGTGGGGGGGGGGAGTTGGTAGCAAAAAGGTATAAAACTCTTAATTAATGAGCATGCCCTTGGATGAGGATAAAAAAGAAAAAGATGGAGAGCAAATATTTCTCCCAAACTTGTAAGACAAGCAGACTGGGTCCAAGCAGATTGGATCCACTTAAGGGATATAATCTGCCAAACTGACACTTCTTAGATCCTAATCAAGAGTGCATTTAATGGGTTACTGTAACACACAAACTGTTGAGACAGGAAAAGGCACTGTATCTGGCACTGAGAGGCCAATTCTGAGAAAGAACACAGCGGTCACTTAGTAGGGCAGTGGAGAACAAAGAATTAGATAGGAAGAGAGAAAGAACTAGACTAAGGATCAGAAAGTCTAGGTCTACCACTACTCAGCTAGATAACTTGGAGTAATTTACCTTTTGGTTAAACTGTAAAGTTCTCTTTGCTCTTCTCTTCTTGTAATAATAGTGGTTGTAAAGTAATCAGGAAGTGCAATGATCACACTCATATTACAGACAGGGAAACTGAGGTAGAGAAAAGTTGTTTTTCCCCTTTGCCAGTCAGATGTGGCAGAGTTGAGATTCTAAACCAAGCAAGCTGGCTCTAGCGTTATGTTGTAATCCATTTCACTACACTGCCTTTACCTCACCCACACTCTAGTCATCAGTCCCAGTCTGCACAAACATCTTGTTTTTATAGCCAATGCCTTTGCACATGTTATTTCTTCTGCCCAAGTTTGCCACCCAAACTATCAGTGTGATCTTGGACAAATTACTTAGCCTCTTTCTTAGAACAAATTTTCTTTTTTTAATATATATCTTATTCATTTATCTTTAGAAGGGAAGGGAAGGACAGAGGGAGAGAAATATCAATGTATGGTTGCCTCTCATGCATCCCCTGCTGGGAACTGGCCTGCAACCCAGGCATGTGCCCTGACTGGGAATCGAACTGTGATCCCTTAGTTCGCAGGCAAACACTCAATCCACTGAGCTACACCAGCCAGGGCAGAACAAATTTTCTTACATGTAACATGAAGAGTCTAATATAAACTCCTCAAAGTACCATTACAAATATTAAAATAATTGAGGTAATGTATGTCAAATGCCCAGCATACAAAAGACATTCAGAAGTGTCAGTCTTCAGCTGCAGCACAGGTGATACCGCACTCAGGAGGATGTGTGTCCCCCACGGCTCAGTTAACCATCACTCTTCTGGGATGTCTTTCTTGCCCCCTTTTCACAAACCACCTCCTAAGCAATTTTCCTGCTTTCCAGACCTGCCCCACTTCCAATTTATTCTTTATAGTACTGAGTAGTTTTTCTACAGCCCAAATCTGATATGAATTCTCAGCTTCAAATCCCTTGTTGGTTCCTATTACTCTTCAGATAAAGCCCAAATTCCAAATACGGCCTATAATGTCATATATCATCAGAGCCCATTTACCTCTCCGGACTCATCGCTCCACATTCCCCTTCTAAAACCTCATCACATCACACTCAGCTACAGCCATTTTGAACTTGCCAGCTCCTTTTCCTGAATCAGGCTCTAGCTTAGACATCACTTTTTCTGAAAAGCTTTCTAAATCCTCAACTCTGGGTTAGACACCCCTTTCCATGCTCTCTTTGCTATTTAAGGGCATGAAGTCTCAATCAGAATAAATGCTCCATGGGGGCAGAACCATGTTTACTATTGTATCCTAAGTGCTTAGAACAATGGCTGATACATAGTATTTATATACTCAGTACATGTTTCCTAAATGAATGAATGTGTGAACTTGTGTGAATATACATCTATTCTAAAATTCTGTGGTATAATCTTCTCATTCATACAGCCCAGGACCTAGCAATGACTACCTATTAGAAAGTAAGCATCCAATAAATATTAATTCATTACTGGGCTTCAGTCTCCTCATCTGAAAAGTAGGCACTTAATTACTTCTCTTACATAATTATTTTTCTAAGAAGGAAAGAAGATTAAAAGGGATCTCCGAAATGCAAAGGAATATTTATGGAAGTGTTAACCTCAACTGGAAGAAAGTAGGTTCTAGTCAAAAAAAGTATTAGCTTACACTTGACAGCTGTCTCAAGTATTTAAAGAGTTGTCACTGGAAACAGTGACTGAAATTGTAGGTTATTTTTAATTTTCGTAAAAACAAACCAGCATTATAAGATAAAGTGTTAGCTTAAATACATTTTGATCTGATATGTGTTTCCATTAAGCTGGCTATTTATCTTTCCCCTTATCACTAGATCAATATAAACTGTGAAATGGAAGCACAGTATGGGACTGAGTGGCAACCTTGTCAACGGAACAGGGTAGGAACTAAACATAAAATATCAAAAAGAAATAGTCATATATAGTAGCTAATGCTGATGATTTGTCACATTTGATTTAATTATCTTATTTTTCTTAGGCAATAGGATAAATACTAACTACTATCGCTGACAATGACCAATTAGTTCTCAGACGTCAGAGATGCCTAACACTGTCACCTCTGCAAAGCCCTAAGCCACATTACAAGCAAGCTGAGTCATCTAAACCATTCATTGAAAAGGAAGTAAAAGACTATAAATGGCTAAGACAATTAAACTACCTTAAAATCATGACCAACCCTCACCATGTTTTTGGAGAATCTCCTGAAGATCTGGCTTAGACTCAGTATCCAAAGTGCTTTCCCCATCAACACTTCCTTCAGTATCCTCTTCTGTAGCAGAAGAGCCAACTGAGAGAACGTGAAATTTGGTTTCCACATCTTGAGCATCTGGCTTCAGGAAGGCAGCTGGACCATCAATGCCTAGGGTTCAAAAGGGGGGAAAAAAAGAGAATGCATAATCCACTATTGAGCTGTGTGGGTTTGGTATAAGTAAGCAGAATTAAGAACCACCAAATCATTTCACTTCTCTTTTCTAAATATCCCTGAGGACATTTGTTAACAGAGTAATTCTGGACTGGTGTTCATTTTACTAACATGCTGACTCTTACTAAAGTAAAATGTACTTGATGTTGCCTTGAGAAACTTAAGAATGAGACTCTGGAAACAAACTAGGTCCACCAAAGTTCAGATCCCAAACAATTCAGTAGCTCAGGGGGGCTTTATTTCGAAGCTCTTAATCCTGTTCTCCCTTCTTCCTCTCATCATCTCAGATGATCCTTTGAGTCTATCTATTGGAAGAACAGAAGCTCTCTACATACTCCTGGCTTCAAATTTAACTCTGCTCCTCAAATAGACTAGTTTGGACTAATTCATTTGGCATCTAAAAATATCAATTCTAGGGTGGACATTAACTTTACAGTATCTTCTACTGATTAGACCACTGCTTTTATTCTAACTCAAAGACCCAGAATTTGATTATAAAAATGTATGAAGGTACCCAATGACAATGCTAATATTATTCCTTTGATCCACCTAAGAATCCTCCTGCCTTCCTCTGGGTTATAAAACTGTACCCTAAAAGAAAGAGATGCCGCCTAAATACACACCATGTAGGATGACATTGTTGTGAGGGGTGTGAGGTTCCACCAAAGGAGTTTGCTCCTCACAACCTCTTGGCTTTGACCGACGTAGCCTGGCTTCTGGATTTGGCTGTACCATGAGTGGCTCCAGGCGCTTTTTTCTCTGTTTCTTCTCCAGGAGTGCTCGCTATGAAAAAATGTTGATGTTATAGCCAGGAGAGCTGTGATAAGGCCTATCTACTTTGAACATTTATAGTGTTTCACTGATTCTCACACAAAATCCTTGTGAATTAATTTTCCCACTTATGAGAACACTGAGGCACAAAAAAGGACAAGGATTTATTCATTTAATAAATATTTAGTAGACCTAAAAGACTGCATACTGTGTTTATCTTCCCAGGCATTGGTATTTTATCCTTATTTTAATTTTCTGTATTTCTTTCACTATTTTACTATTATTTTATTGTGTAAACTTCTTTGTGGAATAACATTGAGTAAAAATGTGATATTCTAAGGTCTGCAGTAAATGAAGGGCTGGCAGGTGGGAGCCAATGAAGAGAAATATGATTTTCTATTCTTTGGATTCAAAGGACTACTGAATTCTTACTTATAATAGCTCCAGATTAGAAATAGCCCAAATATCCATCAAGAGGAGAGTTAATAAATTGTGCTATCACCATATGAATGGAATTTTACACATCAACAAAGAGATCAAACTAATGATACATACTACAACATGGAAAGACTGTCCCCCCCTCCCCCACAGATACTTGCTGAGTAGAAGAAGCCAGACACAAAAAGAGTACATACTGGATGATTCCATTCATATTAAGTCCAAAAACAGGCAAAGCAAACAAACGAACTGAAGGTGATGGAAGTCATAGAGTAACTGTTGTGGGGCAGAGGCAATTTCCTGGGAAGTGGCAAGAAGAAACTTTGTAGGGTCCTAGAAATGTTCTGTACCATGAACTGAGCTGTTGATATTGAGTGTATGCACATGTAAAAAATCATCCAGGTGTAGATTTAGGATTAGTACACTAAATTTAGTGTACTAATTTAGGATTAGAACAACTTCTTGTGTGTATAAACCCGCCCCCAAAAGAGAACGGCTAATAATATGGAAATAATAATATTTTATTGAGCACCTATATTAATAATACATAAATGCATTCCATGATACAAATCTACTTAAAATATATATAGTAAGTATAATATCAACACATGTTTAAACTATATAAACATATAAGCATGGGTAAAAAATAAAACAACACGAAAAAAATATTCTCTGGGTTGTAGAATTAAATAATTAATTTCCTTTTTCTTCCTTTTTTAAAAATCTTCACCTGAAGATATGTTTACTGATTTTAGAGAGAGGGTGACAGGGACATTGACGTGAGTGAGAAACACTGATCAGCTGCCTCCCGTGTACACCTGGAACCGAGGCGCGTGCCCTGACCAGCAAACCCACAACGTTTGGTGCACGGGACAACGCTCCAACCAACTGGGCCACCTGGCCAGCACGTTCTGGTTTTCTGTATTTTTAATTTCTCTTACCTTGTTTTAATCCATGTTTTAATTAGCAAAAGAACAATAATTTTTGCTTTCTTGTTCATTTATTAATCAAACAAATTAGGGCAAAGGGCAAAAAGAAAAAATAGCAGTTGGAACTTTACAAATAGAAAGCATTCAATTTATGGATAGAAGATAAGGAACATGGTAGAAAGAAAAGTCAGGAAAAAAACATATGAGACTATGAGAAAAATACCCAACAAGATGGAAAGGAAGGTGCTGGTACATACATTATTTTTAAGCTTTGGCAAATAAGGCTTTATAATACATAGAAATTGTTATGGTTGTGGAATATCTCAGAATAGGAAAGTACCAAGTCTCAAGCTAAAAAATTAAGCCATTATTTAAAAGCAAAGATATTATAACCTACTTTATTGTTTCTTTGGCAAAAAGCTATCTACTTACTTTTCTTCATTAATACTGCTTTTAAAAAGTGCCACTAACAAGAAGAATTGCTCCAAGAGGTGGGACCCTCTATGGGAAAGGAAATATGCTTTTCCTGAACTGGCCAGATGAAAATCTGCAGGTAAATTCAGAAGACACAGAAGAAATAGGACTATTTTTACCCAGCTTTGTTTACAGCAGGTCCTCAAACAACATCATTTCATTATAATGTTGAAGGGATGCAGAGGAACTTAACTCTTATTTGTATCAATTAGCCTATGATAAAACTGGTTTTGCTATACGCCGTTTTGCTTAAAGTTGCAGAACCTAGACTTCCAGCCAAGATGGAGGCGTAGGTGGAAACACTGTACCTCACTGCACAACCAAGTTTAAAGACAACAAAGTTTTAGTAACAAAAACGCAACCAAAACACAGAAAATTGAACTGTACGCAAGTCCAACAACAACAAATCATTCGGCCAGACCGGTAAGAGGGGCAGAATCAGCGGCTGGCAGAGCAGGGTTACGCAAGAAAAAGTGGACGGACTGACGACCCAGAAGCACAGGCAGCGGGTTGGCAGATCCCAAGTGCAGGGTGGCAACAGGCGGACCCAGTGAGGGTGCAAGGCAGCTGGCTGACCGTGGTCACACATTCACACTCAGATAAACCAGGTGAAGGAGTGAACAGTGAGACAGACCACACAAGCTAGGGCCCCAGCGACGGAAATTAAAGCCTAAAAGCACCAATTGGAAAAACTTTCTGGGTGAAGGTGCCGGGAGAAGCTCCCAGGCTCAGAGAGAGTTTGTTGGAGAGACCCACAGGGTCCTCGAGGATACACAGGCCCACATACCCATGAGCCAGCACCTGGGGGGCCCAGTTTGCTTGTGGGAAGCAGCAGAGGGAACCGCAATCCAAGAAAGAACATGGAGCAAGCGCCACTGTCCTTCACTGACCCTGTCCCCACATAGAGCATCACAACCCAGTGACTGGGTCGCCCCACCCTGGTGAACACCTAAAGCTTCGCCCCTCATACATAATAGGTACGAACAGACCAAAACATTATGGCTCAAGAAGAGCTCAAAGCCCCAGAGCCAATACTTCTAAGTGACCGAGAGATAGCCAACCTATCAGATGCACAGTTCAAAACACTGGTGATCAGGATGCTCACGGAACTGGTTGATTTTAGTCACAAATTAGAGGAACAAATGAAGGCTAAACTAATTGAAATGAAATGCATAGGAAACCAATAGTGATGGAAAGGAAACTGGGACTAAAATCAAGGGAGTGGACCAGAAGGAAGAAAAAAATGACCAAACAGAAAAATATGAAGAAACAAGAATTCAAAAACATGAGAAGAGGCTTAGGAACCTACAAGACATCTTTAAACATTCCAACATCCAACTAGGGGTACCAGAAGGGGAAGAGGAAGAGCAGCCAAGTGGAAAACTTATTTGAACAAATAATAAAGGAGAATTTCCCCAATCTAGCAAAGGAAATGGACTTCCAGGAAATCCAGGAGCTCCGAGAGTCCCAAAGAAGGTGGACCCAAGGAAGAACACACCAAGGCACATCATAATTATATAAGCCAAGATTAAAATGAAGGAGAGAATCCTAGAAGCAGCAAGAGATAAGGGGACAGTACCTACAAAGGACTTCCCATCAGACTGTCAGCAGATTTCTCAAAAGAAGGGGCTGGGAAGAAATATTCCAAGTCATGAAATCCAAAGACCTACATCCAAGATTGCTCTATCCAGCAAAGCTTTCATTTAGAATGGAAGGACAGATAAAGTGCTTCTCAGATAAGATCAAATTCAAGGAGTTCATCATCACCAAGCTCTTATTATATGAAATGTTAAAGGGACTTATCTAAGAAAAAGAAGATAAAAAAGATGAACAGTGAAAGGACAGCAAACTCACAATTATTAACAACCACACCTAAAACAAAAGCAAACTAAGAGGATAGCTAGATCAGGAGCAGAACCACAGAAATGGAGATCACATGGAGGGTTAGCAACAGTGGAGTGGGAGGAGGAGAAGGGGGAGAAGGTACAGAGAATAAGTAGCATAGATGGTAGATAGAAAATAGACAGGGGGAGGGCAAGAACAGTATGGGAAATATAGAATCTAAAGAACTTGTGACACATGGACATAAACAAAAAGGGGGGGGGAATGGTGGGGGAGGGGGAGTGCAGGGTGGAGGGGAATGAAAGGGGACAATGGGACAACTGTAATGGCATAATCAATAAAATATATTTTAAAACGTTGCAGAACCTATTGAGGACATTAAGTGAGGACTTGCTGTATAAGAAAAAGAATAAATAGAGAATTTAGAGCAAAATGGAAGGAATAATTGGGGTTTTTGAGATTATTGAGAATCATGAATTAATATGAATAGATGGACCTTAATGTACCAGGAACACTAAATACATAGGAGATTATAATGCAGTCCTCCTCATGGAATCTACTGATAAGGTTCTTCTAGCATCTGAGAAGTCTTGTATAATGGATGGAAAGTAACCTGCCTGAAGATATGGTAACTATGAAGTATAAAGACAGGAGAAATTGTCACATCTTACCTATACAGCCACAGCCGTTTAGTGTCATGCAGTCTCCTAATTGTGAAACAATGGGTGAAACTGAAACACAAGCAACAGCTACTCCTATTAACATATATAAAGAAAAAAATGTCCTATAGGAGTATTCACTGTTTGTGGTCTAGAAAAGGGAAACCAAAGAGCTAGAATTTGACAAGAGTTTTTTATCCAGCCTGCCCAAGAAAGAGAAATACTAAACTTGGTAGACAAGAATATTTTCTTTACTGGAAGAGCGTACTCATTTTAAGCACAAGAAACTATAAAAGGCCTTGATGATCTAACTATCCCTCAGTATGATTTAATTTCATTTCCTCTGATCCCTTGCTTTCCAATCAGCCTTCTAATTTTCAGTTTAAATTCTAAAGCATCAAATCCCCAGTAACAGAGAATCACATACAGCAGAGTTGAATCCACAGTGGAAGAGTTAAGAGTTCTCACTGCAGATTAATGAAGTGATGTCTGCTTTCAGAACTGACCGGTTTAAGTTTTAACTAGTGTGTTTGTGATGTAAAAAAGGGAAGCCAAAGAGCTAGGTGTCACACGTTACATCTAGAGTCACTGAAAAAACCACATTCTTAGACCTGAAAAGGGCTAACTACACTCCTGATAAGATAGCTTATCAAGGTGCCTGGTGAAACCTTTCTTTGTCACACTTAAACTCACTTATATCAACAACTCAAGGGGGAAAAAACAAGTGCTCTCTTTTTCTTAAGTATGCCTGTGGCTCCCCCCAACCCTGTTCTTTCCCCCAGCATGTTTTTTGAGAGTCTGAACAAATCTTTAGCTGGATAAATGAGTCTGAACTTGTTCGGCTCTGAAGATAATGGGCACTTCCTTCCTCTAGCTCAAATCTCAAGTACTCTTACAAAACTAAGAATCTGTGTGGAGATGTCAAAGGGTATCTCACAGGATATGCAGGATAGGGAATCCCAATAATTGACTCGGCCAGAGACGTGCACAAACAGGCTGGTCACCTAGCTGTCTGAGTCCTCATGGTTGCATTAGACAGCCAGGAAGAGAACTGGGACACAGAGGACTGAGATGATTCGGGAGGTAAAAGCCCCTTGGAGCTCAACCCATAAGCAGCACACTTCAACCCACTACACAATATCCCTAGAAATTTTGTTCAGACACTTCAGATGTCAAAATAAAACTAAAATTAGTTTGTTAAAAAAATGTAGATTCAAACTGTGAACTTCACAGCCACAACTACTATATTACAGAACTGAATATATCCTATTATTGTCCAAGTTTGTAAATAGGAAAAAAACTCACAAAATATCTACTATGAAAATTAACAAACACAAACTTCATTCAAATGAAGTCAGGAGGGTGGAAGAGAACTCCCACACATCACTCAATGCACACCACTGACCCTAACAGAGGAGTTGGTAGGTACCTTGCATCTCTGACAGAGGTGATACTTCCCTACCTCAGCAGGAAGAAGAATCCTCCTTGTCTAGTAAGAGTTCAGCCAATGGGAGACTGCCATAACTCAGCCAGTGAAAACTCACTATACTTCCAACTTTCGGTGTCCTCCTAGGGAATCTTCATTTTTCCTTTGCGAATCCATAAAAGAGTGGTTCTTTCCTTTATTTCTCTGTACTTGCCCATGGTTTGCCATTAGACCAAATGTCCCAAACTGCAATTCCTTGTTGTTTCCTAGTAAACCCATTTGGCTGGAGACGTATCTGGCTATTCGTTTAAGGTAAACATTATGTATGGGCAAACTGCCACTTGGTAAAAACTGTCACCCGATTTAGCTTTTTTTTTTTTCAGGTTCACCTACAGAAACCTTGTTATGAATTTTCCTTCCTCTTGATAGTCAAGTTCCACCATCTTCTCAGTGCTCTGCCAAGGCCATGGACCAACCCTGGGTGATCCAAGGATCTCACCAAACCATCCAATCGGTAGCAGCAACAGGCAGTGTGTACGAAGGGCAGGGACTTAATCAACACAAGCTTATGACCCCCATGTACTGGAAATTCCTCATTCGTGGGGAATAACTGTAAGCCCTGATCCCCATAACGAATGGAGTTCATCAGGTTATCCTTGCCTGCTTGTGTAGGGCAGGCACAGGCTGAGCCCATCAGTGTACCAGCGCATGCAGCCCCAGACATCTGCGGGCATCACGGACCTGTTATTGCTCGACACCGCTTGTCCTTCTAAGAAGTTGGAATGATTCAACATTCTAATCATCCTCTCAGAGTGTGGAAGGGGGAGAAGAGAAGTGCTAACTGAGTTTTAATGTAACAATGTCAACTCCTATTTCTTTTGTTTTTTTTTAATCCTCACCTGAGGATATGTTTACTGATTTTATAGAGGAAGGGAGAGAGAGAGAACTATGGATATGAGGAAAACATCAATTGCTTGCCCCCCATATGTGCTGTGACCGGAGACAAACTGGCAGCTTTTTTTTTTTTTGGTAATGGGCCAACACTTGAACCAACTGAGCCACCAGGCCAGAGAACATTTGTTTTACCTCCCCTAAGAAGCTAAGGATGCTTTAAAGGCTGTATACACAGCCTTCCTACAAAGGAGTCAGGAAGAGAACCAAAGGTTCAATGCCCTTTATGCAATTAAAATATGCTGCCTTCAGGACTAAGTGCTATATAATCTTAAATGTCCCAATTCCCTTGGAAACTGGACAGTAACTCAAAGGATCCATTTTCTCCAGAATCTAATGGTATGCTCTACTCTATTTTCCCCGGGGTGGGGGGGGATATCAAATGGTGATTGATGGAGAAATAAATAAAGAAATAAAGGAGATGAGATGGAAGAAGGGGATATTTCCATCAAAGGGCTTAACTCAGGAAAATAATAAAGCTTACATAACCCTCAAATTAATGACAGCTTAATGTCACTGATTCTCAATTTTCCAAAGACTCCCTAGAGATGATGGGCTGGTTACATTATGGCAGTCTTGGACTAAACTGGCTGATCACAAGGTACAACCAACAAGTTCAGTATGGTTGCCTGATATCTATCAGTTTGGTTAAAAATAATTAGCTTCCCTGGCACAAAAAGTGAGATCATAGGAAGAAAAAAACTAAAAGTTCTAAATCAAACTTTTTAAAATACCAATTCAATGCACTAATGACTGCCTCTCCTTTAAGGGTGTGTACAAATAAGAGAGGCAACCTGGCCTAAAGAGCCTGTGTTACACTCAGATGCATCGTCCACCAGATGGCACAAATGTTCTCTACCTCATGTGTATCCAGGTCTCAGTAACATCACTAGAAGGGTCTGGAAATTTTTATATTCTGTAGGCAACTAAGGTGTCCACATACCTTAAAAATACAAACACCGTAGCAAAACTAGTAAAAATAAAAGCAAAATATATTCCATGGGAAAGAGAGCTTTTCAATAAATGGTGGTGGGACAGCTGGATAGCTACATGCAAAAGAATGAAGTTGGACCCTCATCTCACATCACATATAACAATAAACTCAAAACAAATCAGAAAAAGTGTAAAACTATTAGGAGAAAATAAAGTAGCAAGTCTTTGTAACCTTAGGCAAACAATGGTTTCTTACATATGACACTAAAAATACACATGACAAAAGAAACAGTAGATAAATTAAACTTTTGTGTTGAAGATGATACCCTCAAGAGAGTAAAAAGACAACCCATGGAGTTCGAGAAAAAAATATCTACAAATATTTCTAATAAAGAACTTGGGTTTAGAATATATGAAGATTTGCTTAAAATGTTCCCAGTATCTTTACAGGAAGCCAGGTGGAGGGAGGCTGCAGCTGGTATATTAACCTCAGCAGTGGTTTCAAACCATAAAACCACCATGGCTGGGCCCCCCCAGGGACTGTTCACCTGCACTGGGGTCCCCCACCTTGGACATCAGTCAGCTCATTCTGAAGGATCCCTAAGCCTAGAAGTGTATTTTACTGATCAATCCGGAGCTGGACATATGTAGAGATGGAGACAACCAAATGGTGGGATGGGACTGGCCCTCAAGTTATAGAAGGTAGGGTGGCTAGGCACTCCTGCAGCCTGGAGCAGGGGAGGTCTGCCCTATGCACGCCACCAGGTGTGGGGAGAGCTCAGAACACCAGCTGCAGGTCCTTGTCTACACGGGCTTGGCTGAGCCACATGGCTTATGAACTTCCACAGCATTGCTGTCATTATCCAGGCCCTTTAGGCCACAGGGTGGGACCACCAAGGCTCGAGGCTCACTACTCTCCACACACTTCATGATGCGGTAGGTGAAGAAAGCCCTGGCAAGCAGGCTTCTGGGGCAGCAGGGACTGGAGGTGATCGCTGTGGCCCTGAAGTGTAAGGTCTCCTATGGTGGCACAGGCTAGCACACAAGATCCCTGAAGACCAATGGGCACCTACTCCACCATCTGGGAGCCTGAAGGGCAGAAGGATGTGATGACAGTCTCCAGGGCAGTGCCACTGTCATGAAGGGTCTGGAAGGTGCCCTGCAAAGAAGGCCATGCTCAAGCACAAGCAGAAGTACCAGTGCGGTTTCAGGGACCAGGGTGGCATTCCCATCTGCATCTCCACTTCGCCCTGCTGTGGAGGGCTGCTCCACACATCCCTGCATGCTCTGCTGAGACCTCTTTCCTAGTTCTTTATGACTCTACCTTTAATTTATTATGCTAAATCCCACTTTTAATCCCAAAACCAACATAAAGAAGCAAGACAAAACTTCAGAGGTCTTTTTAGTTACCTATGGAGTTGAGACACTTTGATTGTTAATGGTCCTACATAGGTGGACTAGAGCTATAGAATTTTCTGAATTAAAAAACATTCATATGAAGTAGCAAATATTCTATGTTGGATATACGTTTTAGGCTGACTAATCACGATAATCAGACCATGTAAAAATACAAAACTCTGTTCATTTATTCCTTCCTTCACTCAAATATTTAATGAAGAATTATCATGTGCCCAGCACTATGCTATGAGCTTCTGACATAACAGTTATCATAGAAAAACTTGCTTCCTGTTCTCATGGAACTTAGTCTAGTGGAGGAAACAAATGTAAATGAAATCACTGCCCCCCCCCCAAATTTAATGTATAGCTAAAATTGGGACCAGTGCTGTGAAGAAAATTATTCTGCACATAATAGAAGTTTTTAAATGCAGCAGGATGGATAAGGGTAAGAAAAAAAAGTTGTAGTTAAATGAAATTACAGTGTACAGAGGTACTTAAGGACCAGATAAGCACATAATATTACAATGTTAACATTCTTCTAATTCTTTTGAAAGGTGCCCAGGGATTTTCAGTGATTACAAATTCAAGGCCAGTTTTATTGCTGATGTCCTCAAATCACTTTGGTCTTCCCATAGTACAGGGCCTTGGTTCAATAGCTACTAAGTCCAGACAATACTTAGTAACATCAAAGTCTTTTACTTTCAAGTCTTCTTTCTACGACCCTACCAAGACTTCAGAGTCAAGACCATCAGCATCAGGGCCAATACAGATCTTCACTTATTTCAAAAAAGCATACTGTGCTCACCTGATTATCTAGTTTCAGCTGTCGAAGCTTCATGGTCTCATCTTCAAAGGCACTGTTTAAAAAATATGAAAAGCAAGCATGTAATGAAAAAAATCCTTTTAAAACCATGTCGATTTCATCTTTTCCATGTATTACTCCTTTGGGCTATTTGGAACCAATGAATTTTGCCTTTGGTAGGACAGCAGTTTCTAGATGCTGCCCACACTGACCTCAGGAGGACTCGTCATCCTTAATGCCACATTTGTTTCACAAAGGACTTGATGAGATTGAAATACCCAAAGGACAAGAAAAAGATGTAGAACACAGACTCCACATGAGCAGGGATTTGTAAAAGCTTTTAAATCATACATCAATATAATGAATACACTCATTATATTCAGAAGCACTGCTAAATATTTTAATGCGTTGTTTCAGTTATTCCCCCAAAACAACCTTATAACTCAGATACTGTTATTTTTCACACTTTGAAGATAAAGTAACAAAAGACATGGAGAGCCAAGCATAAGACTGAACAGTAGAAACAGACCCTAACCCTGCTCTGTTTTCAGAGTCTAATTTTCACCTGAGACCAAATACACTTTTTATTTTTATTTTTATTTTTATTTTTGGAGCTAGTTCTAAAAAAGGAAGAATTAGATTGTGTATAACATCTCACTATATACCACTGGTTCTAGGTTTACTCTTCAAGTTTGCCATTAATGAAGCCTGCCAGTCACTGGAGACTATAAATATGGATGAACAGACTAGATCTAATACCAGTAGGGGACAGAAAAACAAAACAAAAAATAGAATGAATTACTGTCTTCAATTGACAAGCCAAACCTTTTGAACTTTTATTTTTTAATTTTTTTATTGATTATGCCATTACAGTTGTTCTATTCCCCCCCTTCATTGTGCTTCACCCTATCCCCCATCCCTACCATTGCCCCCTCTATAGTTTGTGACCATATGTCTCAAGTTGTTTAGATTCTATATTTCCCATACTATTCTTGCCCTCCCCCATCTATTTTCTATCTACTGTCTATGCTACTTATTTTCTGTACCTTCTCCCCCTTCTCCTCCGCCCACTCCCCTGTAGCTAACCCTCCATGAGATCTTCATTTCTATGTTTCCACTCCTGATCTAGCTGTCCTTTTAGTTTGCTTTTGTTTTAGGTGTGGTTGTTAATAACTGTGAGTTTGCTGTCCTTTCACTGTTCATCTTTTTTTATCTTCTTTTTCTTAGATAAGTCCCTTTAACATTTCATATAATAAGGGCTTGGTGATGATGAACTCCTTGAATTTGATCTTATCTGAGAAGCACTTTATCTGTCCTTCCATTCTAAATGAAAGCTTTGCTGGATAGAGCAATCTTGGTTGTAGGTCTTTGGATTTCCTGACTTGGAATACCTCTTTGCAGCCCCTTCTTGCCTGTAAGGTCTCTTTTGAGAAATGCGCTGATAGTCTGATGGGAACTCCTTTGCAGGTACTGTCCCCTTACCTCTTGCTGCTTCTAGGATTCTCTCCTTCATTTGAATCTTGGCTAATGTAATGATGATGTGCCTTGGTGTGTTCCTTCTTGGGTCCAACTTCTTTGGGACTCTCTGAGCTTCCTGGATTTCCTGGAAGTCTATTTCCTTTGCCAGATTGGGGAAATTCTCCTTTATTATTTGTTCAAATAAGTTTTCCACTGGTGGCTGTTCCTTTCCCCCTTCTGGTACCCCTAGAATTCAAATGTTGGAGCGTTTAAAGATGTCCTGGAGGTTCCTAAGACTCTCCTCATTTTTTTTGAATTCTTGTTTCTTCATCCTTTTCTGTTTGGCCATTATTTGCTTTCTTCTGGTCCACTCCATTGATTTGAGTCCCAGTTTCCTTTTCATCGCTATTGGTTTCCTATGCAATTCCATTCATTTCAATTAGTTTCACCTTCATATGTTTGTCTAATTTGTGGCTATAATCAACCAGTTCAGTGAGGATCCTGATCACCAGCGTTTTAAACTGTGCGTCTGAGAGTTTTGCTATTTCTTCATCGCTTAGATTTATAGGCTCTGGGTCTCTGAGATCTTCTTGAGCCATTTTTGGTCTGTTTGTGCCTGTTAAGTATGAGGAGCAGAGCCTTGGACTCCCAGGTCGCTGGGTTGTGACGCTGTATATGGGGGCGTAGTCAGAGCAGGGAAATGGCGACCCCCTCTGCTGTTTCGCGCGGTCAGGCTGAAGAATTTGTTGTTATCAGACTTCCGAAAAGTTCAATTTTCTGTGTTCTGGCTGTGTTTTCTGTTGCTAATATTTAGTTGTCTCTAAACTTGGTTGTGTGAGAAAGCATGGCATCTCCACCTATGCCTCCATCTTGGTGGAAGTCCCCTTTTGAATTTTTTAAAAATTCTCTCTGAAGCCCTTTCCTAACTGCAAGAGGTTTTAAATATTTTGTTTTAGATTTTATTTACTTATTTCTTTTTAGAGAGAGGAGAAAGAGGGAGAAAGAAATGGTGAGAAACATCACTGTGTGGTTGTCTCTTTCACACCCCCAACTGGGGACCTGGCCCACAACCCAGGCATGTGCCCTGACTGGGGATCGAACCGGCAACATTTTGGTTCACAGGCCAGCGCTCAATCCACTGAGCCACACCAGCCAGAGCTCCTACTTGAAGACTTTATTTTGTGACCCAGCATTCTTGGAAAGAATAAACTGTGAAACAAGGCAGAAATGATTCTCAATTACTTCTATTAAAAATGTTTACTAGCAGCTTACTGTGAGGAAAAAAAAACTATAAAAACAAGGTCCTACTGAAGAAGAAAATTGCCATGGCTGCAAAGGAAAGCATGGCTTTTCCTGCACTTGGAGTAAACACACAGCAGTATCTATCCATGGTGGAATGGTTTTCCATTACATTCCTACACTGTAGAAGGTTTTATTCATTTTAGTAATGCCTAGCAACTTGGAATGTGAATACTACCTCCAAGAATCTTCCTGTATATTAACCCTTTAACTATAGATGTGGAGGAGAATTCTGATTCTCTGACAATCTCCTCTATTAATTCCCTTATATCCTTTATGTTTAAAAAAACATTGGGTATTCAAAATAAACCATCTCCATTTTCCCTGCTCAAAAGAAAGACAAACCAATAAATAAAAAATACCAGAGAGCAACCCACTTGACTGCTACTTAACAGCAAGACAGATGCACTGACTATAAAAATTTAATTACCAGAGGACTTCCAACCAAGATGGAGGTGTAGGTAGACATACTGTGCCTCCTTGCACAACCAAAATAAGGACAAAAATTTAGAAACAAAATAACAACCAGAACTGATAGAAAATTGAACTGTATGGAAGTCTGACAACCAAGGAGTTATTTTAACTCCTCTACATACATTCATCCAGACCGGTAGGAGAGATGGAGTCAAGCAGCCAGGTGGAGCGGGTCACGGCAAAAAAAAAAAAGCCGTGACACGGGTCAAACAAGACAGCAGCAGGCGGACCCTCAGTGTGCAGGCAGAAGCTGTCAGACCCCGGGCGCAGGGTGGCAACAGGCAGATCCAGCGAGGCTGCAATTGTGAAGCAGGGTACTGTGCGCAAGGCAGCTGGCTGCCCAGGCAGTCCCACATTCGCTCGCAGATAAACCAGGTGAAACTGGGGAGCGAGACAGACTGCACAACCCATGGTACCAGCACCGGAAAATAAAACCTTAAAACACCAACTGAAAACACCTGTGGGGGTTGAGGTGCCGGGAGAGACTCCCAGCCTCACAGGAGAGTTTGTTAGAGAGATTCACAGGGTTCTAGAAGGTACACAAGCCCACCCACCTGGGAATCAGCACCAGAAGAACACAGGTTGCTTGGGGGAAGCAGCAGAAGTGACTGAAATCTGATAGCAGAGAGTGGAACAAGCACCATTGCGCCCTCTCAGACCCCTCCCCCACATACAGCATCAGTGCCCCACCCTGGTGAATACCGAAGGCTCCACCTCTTATACAGAATGGGTAGGTGAAGATGAAAAAAATGGCCTGAACAAAAGAACAGATCAAAGCTCCAGAAATAATACAACTAAGTGGTAAAGAGATAGCCAACCTATCAGATGTGCAGTTCAAAGCACTGGTGATCAGTATGCTAACAAAATTGGTTGAATCTGGTCGCAAACTACATGAAAAAATGAAGCTACACTAAGTGAAATGAAGGGAAATGCACAGGGAACCAATAGTGATGAGAAGGAAACTGGGACTCAAATCAATGGAGTGGACCAGAAGGAAGAAAGAAACAACCAAACAGAAAAGAATGAAGAAACAAGAATTCAAAAAAATGAGGAGAGGCTTAGGAACCTCCAGGACACCTTTAAATGTTCCAACATCTGAATTATAGGGGTACCAGAAGGGGAAGAAGAAGAAAAGTTATTTGAACAAATAATAAAGAAGAAATTCCCCAATCTGGCAAAGGAAATAGACTTCCGGGAAGTCCAGGAAGTTCAGAGAGTCCCAAAGAAGTTGGACCCAAAGAGGAAAACACCAAGGCACATCATCATTAAGTTACCGAAGATTAAAATGAAGGAGAGAATCCTGGAAGCAGCAAGAGAAAAGAACACAGTTACCTACAAAGGAGTTCCCATAAGACTGTCAGCTGATTTCTCAAGAGATCTCGCAGGAAAGAAGGGGCTGGAAAGAAGTATTCCAAGTCATGAAAGGCAAGGACCTACATCCAAGATGACTCTACCCAGCAAAACTTTCATTTAGACTGAAAGGGCAGATAAAGTGCTTCCCAGATAAGGTCAAGTTCAAGGAGTTCATCATCACCAAGCCCTTATTTGCTGAAATGTTAAAGGGACTTACCTAAGAAAAAGAAGATAAAAAACATGTATAGTAAAATGACAGCAAACTTACAATTATTAACAACCACACCTAAAATAAAAACAAAAGCAAACAACTAGAACAGGTACAGAACCACAGAAATGGAGATCACATGGAGGGTTAGCAACAGGGGAGTCGGAGGAGGAGAGAGGGGGAAAAGGTACAGAAATGAGTAGCATAGATGGTAGGTAGAAAATAGACAGGGGAAGGGCAAAAGTAGCGTGGGAAAAGCAGAA